ATGGCGTGATGAATCACGCCGATGAAGTCGTGAATGTTGAGTGAAAAAAAAGATGTGATGCATTTGATAATCTCTATGCAATTTTTGCCTGGGTCTCCTTTAAATTGCTCATCTTCGAAGATTGTCAATCCCTTTCGATCAACTTGATCCATAGTTCGTGCTAAGCTGAAGCGACTTTGAACTCGTTGTCGTGGGGTATATCTTCTTGGTGGTAGTTGCGCGAAGATATACTTTGTGAGCTAAGGTAATGATGTGTTTTATCTCTGTTCTTCTTGTCGGTCAAGTTTGAACCCACATATTTCAGAGTTGTGCATCTCTTGGTATGTGCAGTATATTGGTTCCCTCTCCTTCTGACCCTGAAGTTTAAGGATAATAAGTTGGATGGTTGGTTTAATGAGATTTGAATGTTCTCAAATCCCTTTGAGATTTCTTCATCAGCTCATGAGTGAAGTTGAATAATCTGATTCTTGGGTACTCAGACTTCCCCTTCTTCCATACTGCACCGTTTTTGCCCCCCAAAGATCTGTTGCTCACTTTCTATTCTCCAGAACAAAGAGTGACTTTATCAATCTTGACTTAAGATGAATGCAACAATGTTTGAAAATGTTTATTGGAGAATTAATAATGAAAGCCATATTAAGACTTTGCTTTGTGAAGTGTGTGCAAATTGGATAAAATCGTTTTTGCGTGGTAGTTGCCATGTGGTCAAATTTGATTTTTTCAAATAAAGAAGTGTAAGTCAAGCCATGAGAATATCAGTAAGCCCTCACTCTCACTCTTGCTTTTGATTTTGCTCGCTCTCACTCCCGCTTTGGATTTCGCTCATCACTAATTCCTATAGGTTATTTGAGTGTACGACATTTCAGCTACCATTAAGATTCTGGTCACCTTGAGATGTCTCATTTTATGTTGGTGGCCAACTGCGTTCCTTGTGCAGCAACATGGAAGACCTTGGTATGATTGATTTAGGATACCTCCCTATGGCTTCGTTGTGGACGTTGGTTTCCCATGAAAGGGGCTTTTGTCCGATATGACTTTGATGGTAGGAGTCCTCTTGAAGTGTGGTTTATTCAGATGGGTGATGGATAAGTCATATCTTGATCATACCCATATAAGGCTTCTCGTAAAGGGATTTTGGCTATGCCCCCCAAGTATGGGATTGACATGACGGGTTGAGAACCACTACTATCACGAACTTTTTTTTGGGCGAAGATTTGTTTGAAAATGTCGCCAGTCTTGGGCATATTTGGGGGAATATGTGTTTGGCTGGCTTTGCCCCCTGTCTTTGAGATTATGGTTTCAAGAGTCGTGGTTTTGAAGTTTTTGCGAATGTAATCTGGTTATGGACTTGTCAAGGTTTTTGTTTGACCTCTAAATGTGGGTTGTGGTGGAGCTTCAGCTTCTGACTTGCTCTCAAAATGATGAATATCTGGGACGAAGTGGTTTTGGCCGAAAAGGCTTTCTTATCATGGAAGGTCTTGGCTTGAGGTCATTATATTTTCCTTGTAAGACCTTGACTTGATGCATGCGGTTGATACTTCAAATGCTTAATTAGGGGCACCTAATTTGTAAGTCCCACAAAATATTTCTTTTTTTTTTCCCCAGCTTTTTTCTTCGTGCGGGACTTACTTGGCTATGGTATGCCCACATATGTGCTTCTCATTTTCCTTGATCTAGAATTTGTCTTTGGTAGGAGTAGTATCGAAAAGTGGAGAGTTTGTCTTGATGATTGATAATGTGGGTGCCTCTTCTCGTTGGCTAGGTTGAATAGACTATTCTTTTTTCCGTACAAGCGAGGATTCTGACGCAATGTGCTTGTTTGTATATATGAGTGCTTCACTCGTGAGACTCTGAGAGGGTTTTCTTGCTATTATAGAAATGTTTGGCTCCATGTGCATCGGGGTTTGGCTATTTGACTTCACGTAAACTGAGCCTCAATTTGGTGGTGAAAGTCGACTATAATGGTGACGAGATTCTACAAGTAGCATGATGTCGTATACTCATTACACCTTTTGACTATTCATGGTCACCAGTAGGGTGTTTATCGATTTTAGCAAAACACGTACACTCATAACACCAGTGGGTGTTCAAATTATTGACAGTAGCATGGTGTTTATAATCACTTGACACCAGTGGGGTGTCCCAAATCTCAGCACCAGTGGGGTACTCACATTTTTTTTTGGCATGAAAATCTCATGGCTTTAGCTTGAAAATAAAACTGGATTTTGATGGCTTTCATGTTTGTAGAAGATAAATCCGTTTTAAAAGAAAAAAATCCGAAGTGATTTCGCTATTTTGATAATAAAAAAAACCCATTGATGCGAACTCTTAATTCAAGATTGATACTATTCACACAATGCTCCAAAGAGGTCGAAAATTGAAAGATCTTTTATTCATGACGATGCAAGCAAAACTGATACAGCTTTAACAAGGTAAAATGTCTCGATTAGTTGATGATAATCAACATCATCCATGCATTGAGGTTTGCCTTGTGGCTTGCCTAACGATTTTCTTGATTGGGCTACAAGTTGTGGTTGTTCTCTAGCAATAAGTCGTGATTTTCTTCAAATTTTGGACGAAGCCTTTTGGAAAATGCTCACATGTTCTTTCATTTCTTCAAGTGTCGCTAACCTTCTTTTGATGAAGTATAATTCCCTCTATAGTGACTCCAAACTGAGCGTAACTTTGGATCCTGCCGGTGTTTAAGGATTTGAATTTTCCTTGAGGAAGAGCAATTTTGAGGAAACCTGGGTTGTCTCAATATAGTCAAATTATTTCCTTTTTTTTTGTGATGGTGTATGTATGATGCATAGATGCACTGATGATTCAATGGATGCACGCGCACTTTAAAAATGTTTTCATGATTTATTTTGAATGCATAAGTGAAAAACAAAGAGAGAATGATGCTTATGAGTTTTTTTTATAAAAAATTACAATGTTCACACATACAAATTATTTTGCGATTGGAAGTATACAACACAAGTTATCACATCGTTAGAAAACATATATACAGATAAAATCATAACCCTATATTGGTAGACCTAGGGCTTTCGGAGGGCATAACGACATGCTTTTAGGGTGGCTTTGGGATATGTTAAGTATGGCTGAAGGTGGTCGCTATGTTTACTATATGCTGAAAGAGGTATTTCTAGGGATTTGGCTCCCAAGTTGTATCCTGCCGTAGCCCTCTCGAGCTGGCTGGATACCTCGAGATCATCCTCGGATTCGAGTTCAACTTGGTTAGAAAGTTTTGCGTGAGTACCACTACTGTGGATGTCACGGTACTTCTTTCCATTTCTAATAGGATAGCTCGGGTATAGAGCTTTTATGCATGAATGCAGAATTAAATTGCGAAAATATAATTGCGCAAATAAGAAGTAAACACCCAACACATAATAGGAAAATAGAAAACTTATCGAACTTAATTATGTAGCTCGACTCTCGAAGTCCCCAGCGGAGTCGCCAACTGTCGCAACCGTCCCTCCGGGGGGTCCGAATGTCGTCGCGTCGGCATTTTTAGGAGTCGCCATCGATCTTATTTGGAGTGGATCGAACACTCTTCAAATCGGCTCTAACCTTAGTGTCAGAACCGAGGCATGGTCTGCGAAAATAAAGTTCTGGGTTCGGGAGTACGGTTACGTGTGGGGAAGTTAAGCAACACCCCCACAACGCCCTAAATCGGTACTACTTAAGTCGATAAGTTTTTATGCAAGTTGGGTGTATTTTAGTAACAATTTTGTAATCTTAGGGTCCCACTGGACCATTAAAAAAAAATTAAATCGTATTAATGGTAATTTAATTGTACGTCCACTGACGTAAACGATAAAGTTAGTTGGTTAGTTGGACTCGAACCTTATCGGTTGCCTACGTACCCGTTAGACGGGATCAAAGTCCACGTAGTTCGTTTGGACTTTAAAAATTTTAAATAAAATTATTACCACATTCCACTGATCGTGGTTCTCGTATCAAAATTTATTGTTAGTAAAATTCAAGTTGGTATTATGAAATTATAAAAAGACAATGTAATAATTTCAATTATTAAGAGGAGTTTTGATGTATTAGAAAAGAAACGAGATAAACTAAATCTGCAATTCTACATTTCGTATTAAGGATTTTAAATAAATAAAACTATACGGGGGTATAACACTAATGCATGAGGGCCAGCAGCCCAACTGGCCAAAACGCCATGCCTAATCGCCTCTTCGAAATAGAGGTTACGGGTTCGAAACCCACTGGCCACAATTTTAATAGATTCTTCTTTTTGCTTCAGAGAAGGGGGAAGGGTAATTTCGTAAATAATCAAAAACGCGGTGGCAAGGCCAAGTAATAAACCGTAAAACCTAGGGATATTTTAGTCAATTGGAAAAGTATATAAGCAAAAGCGAACCCTAATCACCATTTTGGCCGCCGCTCTAACCCTTGCCACTCTCTCATCTTCTTCTTCCTCTCGCTTCCTCCTCTCCACTCTAAAAAAAAACGAAACCCTAGCCGAATAAACCAGCCGCCTCTCTCTCACCCATAGAGAAAACCGAAAACCCTAACCACCATCTATCACCGCCGCCTTCTCCTTCTTCCTTCTCTCGCTCTCTCTCTGTATTTCTGGTACCGACAAAGAAAACGAGGAGGGGAGCCCGGGCGACGGCAAAGGCGGGATTAAAGGTTCGTTTTCTTTGTTTGCATGTCGATTTGGGTTATTTTCGTTAAGTATGGATCTAGGTTGATGCATGAAAGTGACTATTGGAAAAAAAAGAAGTTGTGCTATTTAGTTGTACTTTGATTTGCGCATATATAAGTATGGCTAATGAGGAAAATCTAAACATGGCAAAAAAAAAAAAGAGTTTAAACCAAAACATCCAACTCTAGTCGTAGTTCTAGTCATAGTTAAGTTAAACGGCATAATAGTAATCGCATAGCCAAAACTATTAATATGGGAAGGAATTTTTTTTTAATGATAGAGCTTAATGAAATTGATAAGAGCATATCTGAGTATATAATATTTGACCATCACATAGCTTGTATTGGAAAATACTCAAAGAGTATAAATATGCAAATAGATGGATGATTGTATAACAATCATAACGATTGTATAAATTTGATAAAATGAAGTTGATACAAGTACCAACCTGGAACAAGGCCTAAGAATGGCCTTTCCGTACAACGATCTTCAAATCTGCTTCTTCAATTTCACAGTCTCCCCACTGAACTTCGGCTAAGGGCAAGAACAAAACGATCTCTTTGCAATGTGTATCTTTCTATTTTTTCTGTCTTTTTCTTCCTCCAATCCGTCCTCTCAAAACAAAGAGCCTGAAGAGCTCATTTATAGCAAACCAAACCGCCACTTGTCACTATTTGATTCGTCCAATTTTTTAATATGACTTTGAAGAGTGTGCCTGGTCGATTGTAGATAGGATTTGGTTAGACCAAATTGGTCTGGGTCGGATTGTGGTTATTCTTTTCGGACCGAACTGGTTAGGTTGAATTGGGCTTTGGGTTTGGGCCGACTTGGGCTTGGGCTTAATCAGATCTGTAATTGGACTAAATGGTCTCTTCTCATTTTTTCAGGTATCTGGGCTTCGTTGATTGAAAAAGCTGGGCCAGTGGACCAGATTCTTGCCTCAAGGCCCAAGTGTTTCTCTTTTTGTAATTATATATGTACAAATCAAATTGCATGGCCCAAATTTTGTAGAGTTAGCATTAGTCATTTAATTCTTGCTTTATTCAGAGTACCCTAGTTGTACGATGTATCAACTTTGAAATTTTGATAATAAAGCTCATTCCGCCATTCAATTTGTTCCATTACCAATACCGAATCCAAATCCAAACTCGAGCAACCAAATTTGCACTATAGTCATTTCTCCCTTCTAATCTTAACTTAAACTGATCCCATCTTAACTAACTATGCCCTAGAATCGACTAGGAGCAAATTTGATAATTGTTGGTTCATATTGACTTGCAACTGCTAGTCTCAACCAAACTATCTTCAACTTCCCTTTTAAATATAATCGTAGTACGATGTTAGAATAATTATTTTCAATAAATCAATTATCCCGGACAAAATGTGGTGTCTACAGGTAATACTCCACCTCTAGTTCTAAGCTCTTCCCACACCAATTTAATCTTGTATCTTGGCATAGGGATACTTTTTGCCTTATTTCTTTGTTTAAAAATTTAAAAATTATATAATATTTTTGTATTGTTGAATAATTGCCTTTTGTGTTGGTTGGGTTTTTAATTAAAAGTATCTCCAACCCGACTCAACTGAATTATAAGCAAACCCTAGGGTTTTAATTTTATTTTCTATGAATGGATGTGGTATATATATCATAAAAAACAGGTACTGTTGTGGTGAACAACCCTCACCACAGGGAAATTGAACATGTAAACTAATACATATTTATAGAACCAAAAGAGTAGTTAAAAGAAGTGACTTGCAGTATCTGCTCCACAAACAATAGTGGTGTTTTTCTTAATCTGAAGCACCACCTCTGCAGTTTCATTTCCTGTTACTGTGTCTGGCAGTGCACCTGTCCCTCCATATAGAGCTGATCATTGCTTGCCAAATGACCCTCCCTGTTGTCGAGATGGGGGAGGAGCCAGAAAATTGAGAAATAGCCCACTGAACTTTCATAGACCAGTCTGAAGAAGGTGATCTGCTAGTGTGTTTACTAAACATGCTAATAAAAAGCTCCTTGTAATGCACACAGGCAGAAAAAAGATGTTGGTGAGTTTCTGGGGAAGACAATAGCAGGTCCCATATATGTCTGACAATGCAGGCAAAATTCCAGCTCTTAAGGTCCCTTAGACCAAGACCATCCTCTTTCTTTGGGTAAGTTAATCTGTCATAACTGCCATCTTTCTATCATTTGAACCAACATCCCAGAGGAAATCACTACACATTTTCTCAATCTCCTTGATAACAACTTTGGGGAGAATGAAGATAGCCATCCAAAGTTGAGCAAGACTATAGAGGAAAGATAGCACAAGCTGAACCTTGCCAGCATAACGCAGTGTTTTAGCACCCCAACCTTTAATTTTGTTTGTGATTTTATCTATTAATGGGCGACATGCCTTAATAGTTAACTTGTCAGGTATCAAAGGAACCCCCAAGTATCTCACAAGGAGTTCCCCAAGTTTATACCCAGCCCTGTTAGCCATACGGACCTGCCATTCCTTAGGTGAACCTCCATAGAAGATCTCACATTTTGCAGGTTTTGAAACAAGGCCAGAAAGATCTCTAAATCTAGCAAGGACTGTATGAATACATTGAACCCCATGATTTGACCCATAAGAGAATATGAGTAAGTAATCCGCAAACATAAGATGGGTTAACCCTATACGTTTACACATAGAGTGAAAATTGAGTTTCTTTACCGTGGCTGCCTCCCTCATAAGGCAACTGAAAACCTCCATGGCAATGGCAAACAGGTAGGGGGACATAGGGTCCCCTTGCCTAAGCCCTTTCTTTGCAAAGAAATACCCCACCACTCCCCAATTGAAACACACACTAAGTTTGGGAGTAGTGACACTGACTCGCTACGACACAACTCCTAACAAAGGCCAAGTGTAACCAATGAAAGGGACTGCAGTATAGTGGCTCAAGTGATAAATATCGAATCCACGGGTCTCTAGAGTTACTATTACTCAGCTTCAGTTTATTATTTAGCAAACCAGATTAATAAGGAAGAACTAAAACTACTCTAGCAAACTACAGTTAAAGTTAATCTAATTACAGGTTGGGAACTCACTTAGGTATGATTCCCCCTAGCCACTAGCCAGACTAACGATTGATGATTTCTAACCTGTTTCAATTTCATTCACAATGCGAAGAATCCTTGACTAGACCTTGAGTCTCGACTAAAGGAACAAGGCCCTCTTGAGTCAATTGCCTAGAGGGACGTATCCTTCTCTAGAACAACTGATCAAGGCGTTCTGAACTAGACTCCCTCTATCGAAAGAGGTTCTCAATCGATACAAAGCAGTGAATCAACCCTCGACTAAAGCAATCGATCCACTACTATCAATCTATGGTGCTCTATTGACCTACTCAGGTATTCCCTCTCATAGGATCAAAACAGAATCAATAATCTCGACTAAAGCATAATTGAATCATGAAAACATGCATAGATTGAATATGAAATCAAGATTATCAAGTCAGAGTACTCATACAATCATCCAATCAAACAAACATATCTAGGGTTCCTCAAAACCTAAGTGAAGGGAAGTTACTCCATAGAGAAGAGAGAGACTGAAGTAAGAATCTTCAGATGATCAGTCTTCAAGTCCGGGCTTGTTCCTCGAGCTTCCAAGGCGAAGAAATCCTCCAATTCCACTCTTAGAATGCCCTCAGATCGCCCTTTCTCTCTTTGGTTCGTCCCTTGGGTGTTTGGGATCCAAAACCCAGCTCTCCCCCTCCTTTGGCTCGAATTTGGGTTAAAAAACCCGATTCTGGGCAAAACACGGTCGAGGGCACGGCCGTGCTTTGGTTTTGCCCGCCCGTGCTTTGCCCCGTGTTAAAAACACGCCCACGCTCGTCGGGCAAAACACGGTCGTGCCTAAATATGGGCACGGCCGTGTTTTAATTTAGGCGCGCCCGTGTTTTTACTGCCGAACCTGTTCCCCTATATTCAATGCTTCGTTTCTCCCTCGTCCGGACTCCGAATCAGTCGCTGTTTGATCCCAGACGCTCGTAGTCTCGTCCTCTTTCTTTTCATGACAAGCTTGCATGATTATTTGTCCATAAAGTGAGGTAGAAATTCATTCTTCTTCAGGTCATGCCCGAGTTTCTTCTCCCTAATCGCCAATTGATCTCTGATTGACTTGAAACTTGCGCCTATGCTTCACTTTATGTGCTAGGACCTGAAATGTGACAAAGGAACACAACCTAGCGTAAAATAGGCCAAAGACGCAATAATTAAATCTCAAACAATCAAGAAACAAAGGGGAAAACATGTGCAAATATCGAGTCATCAGACACACATGTAAATCCACTTAATTAACCCCATAGGAAACCCCATAGCTTCAAGGACAGTAAATAAGAAATTCCAATCCACTGAGTCAAAGGCTTTTATTAAATCTACTTTGACTATACTTTTAAGGAAATTTTTTTTCTAGTATACTTCTGGACAAGTTCATGAGCAAGGAGAATATTCTCTCCAATCACCCTGTCTTCACAAACGCAGTTTGGTTCTCACTAATCACAAGAGGCAAACAAGTACTCAGCCTAGAGGAGATTATTTTAGCAATGCATTTATGTTTTATAGAGTATATTGCAGCAGGAAATGGGCCTAAAATTCTTCATCTCTTCAGAGTTCTTTGTCTTTGGTAAAAGAGCAAGAAGAGTGGAGTTTAGCTCGAGTGGAAAGTCGGAGGAATCAAAACAATGTTGAATGGCATATGTGATGTCAGAGCCCACTATGCTCAAGAAAGCTTGAAAGAAACAAGCAGAATATCCATATGGGCCAGGGGCTTTCTCCCCATTGAAACCAAATATAGTACTTTTCACTTCTTCATCTGTAACTGGCCTATAAAGATCAGAGACTTGCTCATGTGAGAGTTTCTTCTCCAGGAGTTGTTGATAAAACCCTACTGACTCAGCTTTGACAAGAGGATTAGATTTCCCAAGGAGATTCTGATAGAAAGAAACAATAACTAAGCTCATGGAAGGTGTATCAGTAACTCTTACTCCCTTCTCATCAAGAAGAGAGCGAATGGTATTTCTCTGCTGCCTAATTTTCATAGATCTATGAAAAAAACTAGTGTTAGAGTCACCTGTCTTCAACTAGGGTTTTAATTTTTTTTGGGTGGGTTGGGATTTAATATTTTCAAAACCGTAGTATATGGATCGGGTGATTAAAATGACCAAACCCGAACCACCCAAACCATGTACAACCCTCGTCCCATCCCCAACCCACAAATCTTCTGAGCAAATCTTATGCACAATATCAATGACCTTTCTAGGCAACACAAAGATGTTCATTGAATACTATATTAAATAGTAAATAACATATGAGACCAATTAATCCGGCCTACACAAGAGAGTTTATTTGCTCGCCATGAATGAATTCAACTAGTCTACTTATCCATCAATACTTCAAATTTACAACTAGACAACTTGTCAGAATTCATAGGCAACCCTAGATATCTCACAAGTAGTTTTCCTTCTTTAAAACCCGTAACCCTTATAGCATTCTGCTTGAATTTATTAGCTACATCCCAAAACAAAACCTCACACTTTATAGGATTATGCTTAAGACCTGGTAACACATAAAATCCATCGAGTACTCTTTTAACTCCATTAAGTGCAGTTGCAGAGCCCTCAGTGAAAATCAATAGATCATCCGCAAAACAAAGGTGTGTAAGATCAATTGATCAACACTAAGGATGGTAAGGTACATGCATTTCTCGAGTAGCTAAATCCATCATTCCATATAAAGGTTTTAATGATAAATTAAATAAGTAGGGGGAAAATTGATCCCCCTACCTTACCCCTTTCTTAGTAGGAAAGAAACCAAATAATGACCAATATATGTTGATACTAAAATAAGTTATAGAGAGGCAAGACTAAATCCATTGAATAAAATTTATTGTGAATTATTTCACCTTCATTGCACAGAAAAATGGTCTAGTCGACAGAATCAAAAGCCTTCTAGTTGTTATGACTAATAATGCTAAGCAAGACCAGTTGGATCCTATTAGCTAACACCTTAGAGATTATCTTATTTAGCACGTTAATGCAAGCAATAGGTATAAAAAGTTGGCATAGTATAAGCATTAGGTGTTTTAGGAGCATGTGTTAAAGAGGCATTATTAATACCTCGAGGGATTCTCTTGTCTCCAAATAACTCCTTCACTCCTGCACACACATCCTTACCATCAACACTCCAACATGTTTTATAAAATCCCACTGACTAGCCATCAGAGCCAGAGCCTTTGTAGGATCCATTAAGAAGAGAACTTCCCTTTATCTCTTGGTTTGTAAGCTTTGCACAAAGAGCTTGTTTGCCATGTCAACTAACTTGTTTCCTCACAAATAAACTTATTATGGCTCTATTTGGATGGACCGCTTCATTTTTCGCCCCATACAAATTCTTGTCGAACTCTATAACCTCCTTAGCAATTTGCTCTTCCTCAGTTACAACTGTATCAGACTCTAATACTAGCTTTCTTATTTGCTTCTAGGCATTCTTAATTTTACGGTCTTACGAAAGTAAGAAGTATTTGAATCCTCAAGGGTGCGCCACTGTATCTGATACCTCTGCCTAAAAAATCTTTCTTCAGCTTGTTGCATCACCCTAAATTCTTATGTTGCATCATTCACCTTGCTATAAGAATTTTTTATATGGTTATGAAGGGAAAGAACATGCAACTCCTTCATTTTAAATTCTACCTCTTTCACTCTACCATATATATTATAAAACTCATTGTGATTGAGCTACTTAAGCTCATGCTTCAAAGCATAGAACTCCTTCTTATTCAAAAAAATTGGGGCCCATATGATTAATCAGTCCATACATTTCTTAACTAAGTATCATAGTCGTTATGTTGGATCCACATGTCAAAGGAAAAAAATACTTAGGGAATCTCTTTCTAGGGATTGTTGGGACTACCATCACTCTATAATGATTTGAGAAGGTAAGGGGGATAAACTCAACCCCACAATCATGCTTTGGAAACTATTGCTTAGAAAGTTATCTGGCCCACAATTCTGTCTTCCACAACTGGTCCAAACACATGGAGATCGAGTTCCATTTTGTTCGAGATGGCGTCAACAAACAAAAACTTTATGTTCACTATCTTCCTTCTCCTGGCCAATTAGCGTATGTTCTCATGAAGCCCTTACCACGTCTTCCCTTTTAGCGGTTCTACACCAAGTTTGACCTCTTCAAGGCTTCACTTGCGAGGGCATGATAAGTAGTGGTGACATCTTTGCTACTCATTGACTATTTCTATTTTTGTTAAATGTGTACCGCCAAATCTCCAATTCTATTACTTTTTCCCTTACTTTCAACATCACTTTGTTGTAACAAATGGTTGTAAACTTGTACTACAAGAACAACAATTCAATAACACATACGTTTAGCAGTTCTTTTATACCATTGCACTTTTCATGTTTCCTTACCCTCAAATTGTGTACATCCATACAATGAATATGTCTCTTTCAACCTCATACTTGAAAATTATCCAACTTCCCTTTATGTAGCTTTACTAGATGAGAAAGATAGATGGACAGATCGTGAAATTATATGAATAATAAATTCTGTCACTCTGTGGAGGACGAGTTTGATACTCGATTACTAGTAATACCATAACATAATATTTCTTCATTAACAAAAGCATATGAGGTCTATACTCATATTGTGTTCAGAAAGTAGTCATTACCCCTATGGCAAACACCTATTCATGTAAGAAGTGTTGTTGTGAATAAGGTGGATCATTTTTCCCCGTTCCATTAAGGAATGGAAACTCGACATAAAAAATTAATTATTTTTTGTCACACAATAGTCTACCCATGATAATAAAATTATGTTTACTTTTGATCTACAATAGTTCTCAAAACATGTACATTTTTTCCCTTTGAGTCTTTTTCAATAATATTGAGAACACACAATATAAGTTAGCACAAATGTCGCAAATAAATAATGTAGATAAAGAAAAATAAAATATCATAAAAACGCCGATTGTATCATATAATATAACTTAAAGTCAAGCTTAAGGAAAATCCTTCTCCATGAACACATTGAACATTTGGTTCCTTACATGAAATTTTTTCGTTTTCATGACATGAATATTAAGATGATACCAAATGGGTTTCCACGAGGCTAGACCAGAGAACATGAACATCCTCACAAGAACATGCCTTGACATCCTCGTACAACACATATATGCCCCCTTTCCCTCTCGTGGTTCCTATAACAAAAAAAAATTCAACCACAACATACAGTTAACACAGATATCGAGACATTTACTACACCATGAACTACTATGAACCTACGTAAGCAACATCAAGAAGGAGAAGGAAGAGTAGAGAAGAGTACTGTTTCTACGGTGGTGCGATCGAATTCTAGACCAAAACTTCTTAAATGGTGAGTATGAAGCCACCCAATCTGTTGTAGCTGTTTATGAAGCCACCCAATCTGGAAGAGAAATGTCTTGAGTTTTTTCATGATAGGTGAAGTTGAGAAGAAGGTGAAGAAGAAGGGTTCATGAAAGGGGATAAAAAGGGTGAAGAAAACTTTGGGAAGAGGTAAAATGTTGTGGAGGGGGTTTGCTTTGCTTAGAAAGGGCGACCTATAATTATGTATTCTCCTTTGTGCAAAAGTACTACTATTTTTCACATTTTCTTGCATGCTACAGAACAATACAATATTCCCCTTTCCCCTCCATCTTTCTCCAAGGAAAAAAGAAATGGGGTTTTCTACTCCTCCCCTGGATAATTTGGTACAATTTTTGTGTCATTTCTTCATCTCCCCCTCACTCATCTTTATCTAGAAATATTTTGGAGGTTAAGTAAGTCTTGTGTTCGAGTTCTCTTAAATGCAGATCTAAGACAAAATAAAGGCATGATCTTTCACAGAATCCTAGTTAGCATTGGCTCTTTTCACTCTTGTGCAAAATGGTACAATCATTGACATACGAGAAACCAGTTTCAGCGTCACTTGTGGACAATCATAGGAAAAAGAGAGAGAAGTAAAATTGAATAACTTATTTATGAGAAATTGTACAAGGTCCCAGAGGAAATGTTTAAATGTACCTAAGAAGACATGAAATGTAATTGCAGAGTTGTACAAGAAGTTAAGTAGAATGGTAAATTGTCTCCAAACAAAAAGGGTAATGGTAGAAGAGAAAGTCAGTGAAAGCATTCGAACATATTTTGAATTTGATTCACATGCTTCAAAACCCCGAGGACAAAGAGCAACAATCCAACTCCCAGGTTAAAAAAATTTGTCATTCAAAGTTATGTTCTTTGACAGTCTGCGCAATGTATCTGCAATTTTCATGATGAACTCAAAGAACTAGTTCAGAATATTGAAAGATATCATTGAATCATTGGATGCGGTAACTTCACATCATGGAAATGATCTTGGGGTCAGAAAAAAAGCTGCATCGTTTGTTTGTATATATCTCGACACTTTAACTGCACAACTATGCCCAAGTTGGCTCATCAGTTTTCTAAACTGTACAATGGATAACAAAATATGTACTAAAGTTTAAGTCTCGACCTTTTCTGCAAATTAACAGATCATATAGCTGAGCAAATGAAAACCAAGATGAAGAGAAGTGTCGCTGCCCCAAGAAATATAAAAACAGTCCAGCACACAATTTTGACTATATTCGTTGCGAAATGAGATTCGTTATGGTTCATCATCTGCTTATTCATTAAAAAATTGAGTAACTATGTAAAAAAAGAAACTAGGAAAAAGGATTAGATATTTTCCCCACCAAATGGAAGAAGGTGGCAAGGTTACCTGTGATTGGCTTCTTCCTGCATCGTCTTACTGCAACAGAAGGCAAAAAATGACGGAGATCACAAGCGTTGAACCACTACTGAGATATTTCATTAATATGAAACAAATGGGTGTCGACTTAAAAGAAAGGTTGAGGCATTTCTCGATCATGTCTTGAGATTGAAGAGTGTTCCACTTGAGCTTCATTTTGAACATAAAGATGGTTAGCCCAATAACTTATGACTGTAACTTTTTCTGAGTTATCAGAAACCCTATGATCTAAGTCATCCATCATTCAAACCTTGCTCATGGCTTTTGATGCTTGTATCAGCCAATCATTCAACTGAATTGCACCAAAGAAAGACTAGTAGTCCAAGTTTGTTGCAACTATGTGGAAAAGGCTACCAAAATTGAAAATGATGAAGAATAAGAACCACTTGCAATCATAATCATAAACCATTACCTCATTGGAGAGGGAGTGCGGTAGAGGCTAAAAGCTTGTGTTCTTGTTCTTAGCCTGAAGTCTGATAGCATCTTCCAGCGATATTCCAGCTCTTGCTCATTTCTGCAAATGCATATCTGTAGTACATCACTCACGCGAATTTCATCCTTTACACTTAGACGCATAAGGAAAAGTAAAAAAATTCAACCTTTGGTTCTTCCAAACATCCTGTCGGTAACAATTTATAAATAGAGAGGTTATAGGAAGTTGCAACAAAATTCTCCACACTCAACTTTGAGGATCTATAAACTCTTGAACCGAACTCAGGATCACAAATCGAAAAAGAGTGATATTCCCACAAAGTCAAATTGTCATACACACAATGTTGCAGGAGTTACACTTTTGAATTGCGATCAAGTGTTGACCGACAAGATACTTATTTGAACTACGATCAATGTTGCAGATAGTTTCAAGACGTGTGGATATTTCTTGAACTTGGATATGGTAATTACTTGAATTATTATCAAATTCAATCATCGCTGGATCGCCCATTTAAATACAGTCCTTAATACGAGCCTCCTTTAGGCTGCTAATTTGCTTGAATTATTATCAAATTCAATCATCATTTGCATTTAATGACCAAGTTTGGACTTTAATTGGTTCACAATTGAGGGGATGAATGATACAAAAATCCCCAATTCTGACTCAGTTGCGTCATGTCTCACAAATTCAAGAATGTGGCCATCCATCCATCGAAACTAATCGTTCGGAATCCATCTAATATGTGTGAAACAACTAATTTAGAGTGAAGAAGAATCATACAAGATATGTTTAGAAGGCGGGTTGCGAAGGAGAGACTCGAGGCAATCCAGCTTGATTCCGAGCTCAACAAGCTTCGACTCAGCTGCAGCATCCACGTGCCGCTTGTTCTCCAAACCCTCCATCAGAATCGAAGCTTCCTGAGCTTCCCTCATCCATGAATCCACTGCCAAAGAATGCTCAGCCATCTTCCTCCCTTTTTTCTGGTCTTTCTCCTAGCAACGATTTCCATTGGAGCAAATGAGGGCAGGCAAGGGCGGAGCCAGGATTCAGTATTCGGGGAGGCCGAAGTTTCTTACTCCGTCATTCCTAAAAAATGTGAGAATTAATAAAAATGAAACTCCTCTTATTTTCGAATTGAAAAATTAATCCCTACTTTTAAATTAAAGGACTTGGAAAAATCTACAAAAAAAAAGGACTTGGAAAAAACAAAATATACGATTGAGTAATTGACTTATAACATAACAAAAATTGCAACTAGTAGGTATTGAACCCCTGACATTGGCCTTATATAAGATATCATATCCGGTGGACTAGATTCAAATTGACAAACTATTTAACACATCAAATTATTTGTTAATTACACTTAGATTATATGAAATTTCAAAGTACTCGAAAATTTTACACGTAACTTCCGAGATTCTCGAGGGGGTCGGGGCCCCTTAGGCTAGCTGTAGCTCCGCCCCTGAGGGCTGGTTCATAAGGGCGAGAATCGAAGTGGGTAGTCACCATTTTATGTAGCTCTGTAATTGAATGATTGGGTTTTTGAGGAGTGTGCGGATGACTCATAGAAAGGAAGAAGAGTTGTGGTGTCACATGTAATTTACTATAATTGTTTAAGATGATAGGGGTTTTGATTTGAGCAGAGGCTGTGAGCCTGTGACGAACTGACAATTCACAATTGTGAACGAATATTTGAAATTCTGAATTGCTATTCGCCGCCCTAAAATTTAAATTTTATCGCCCTAAACTTTACTGAAATGACACATCACCCCTAATTCAATTCTAACCCTCCAAACCCGTTGACCACTATGGGCAGAGAAGAACTGCCGCCATCACAACTCAATCCTAACATCACATATGGCTCGAGAAAAACTGTCGCCGCCGCCGCTTCCAATCGCCCCTCCATCCATCCCAACCAGATACACTCACCCATCCCCCACCCGAATCTGCAACTTCCATGTTGCTCTGTTTCTATACCTCCCCTGCTTCTGCTACAACCCAAATGGAAGACGAGTTGACCGGCCGCCTGCAGAGTCACTAATCCGATGACGGAGGAAGCAGTGGGTTGGTGATGAGGAAATTAAAGAGTAATGGCGGTGGTGGATCAATTCGAAGCAAGCCATGATATGGTCACTAGCCCATGTTGTGAACAAAGCAGATTTGCTCACTCTGCTTCACATTATCCCTCCTTCTCATGGAAACCAACCTTCACATTCCTTCCCTACTCCCTCGGTGCCCTCTGCAAAGTCTGCAAGCCTAAGTATCGTGTTTCACAGTGTTTACAAAATTGTTCAATATGATTCCTCTGTTCCAAATAGCTCGAAAATTATTGAATTATTTTTTGTTTGGTCTAAAATAAATAAAATAAGGGCATTAGAGTAAATTTATCTTAATTAGGGCGACGAATAAGGAATTTTAGGGCGACGAATAGCAAAGCCCTTGAAATTACGATAAATTACAAGGTCGGTCACTATAATTACAAAAAACGTTCATGTTTGTCATTAAAAATATTTAATTTCATTTGTGGTCACTAAAATTAGTTTATCAGTTCAATTTTGGTCACTCTCCGTCCAACTCCTTTAACTTTTGCTTATGTGGCGGTCAACTTTTAAAGTTAACCATTAAATGTGCGAGATGACAATTAAAACATAATAAAATAACTAATATTTCATTTTTTTTAAATTTCCACCTCGGAAAAGAAGAAAAAATAAAATTTTCACCACTCGTGTATCTCCCAAATTTTAAAATAATAATTAAAAAATCTTCATATTAGGCAAAATAGTAGTCGAACGGGATAATCTTCCTACCGGCGACGATTATATATAGGTAATTTTGTGCGTGGGAAGATAGCGGCGGAGTGCCGGAGTCTCGACGCCGAATCCAACTCCATCAGTTCGAACATTTCCCGGGAGATTCTGGATTCTCATGTGTACACGCATGCCCAGCCGGCCACCGGGGTGAATCGATTAGAGAGCGGCGGCGCCACAAGGAATGACGAACGATGCAACGAAGGCGGAGGCGCGCAAGGAACGACGACAATCTATAGATGGAATGGTGAATCGTGGCCGAGACACAGTATTGAACGAGCGGGTTTCGATTCTTTGTAGGGGATCAGAATTGACGCTGGGATAGTACTGTCTTCACACGCAGACACAAGGAGTTGGACCACCGTATCTCCTCTCCGTTGTTCTAATTGAATTAGATGGTCGAGGCTCTTCCTCCTCCTGGAAGGAGGAATCGAAGTAAGAATCCCTCGTCTGAATCGACCCACCGGGAGGGTGGTCAAGAAGAGGCAATGTGGAGTGACGGAGGCGGAATTGTGGCAGCGGAGGAGACCAGCGAATTGTAATGTGTATAATTTTTATTTTAAAATTTTATCTTTTTAGTAGTGATTAATGAGGTGAAAATTTTAAAAATTAAATTTTATTTATTTTAATTGCCATGTCACATATTTAACGGTCAACTTTTAAAGTTGACCGCCACATAAGCAAAATTAAACGGGATGGAGAATGACCAAACTTGAACTGTTTAACTAATTTTAATGACCACGAATGAAATTAAATATTTTTAGTGACCAAACGTGAATTTTTTTGTAATTAACAGTGAACAATCTTGCAATTAACCCTTTGAAATTATTTATTATTTTGCATTTTAATCAAAGTGAAAAATCACACGCCCCGCCGTTAAGCAAAGTTTTGGCGCCTTTCCCATGCAATCTGATATGGGCCTGTCTTAGGTTGGGCCAATATCCGATCCACCCAAGTCCAGGTTACTTGGGTCCTACTATTGTATTGATCTGTAAGCAGTGTAGGAGATGATGAACCAAGTTAGCCCGATCATTTTGAGCCATTTGAAGAAGCCTACCAACAGATTAGAATTAGAATAAAATGTATCCTTTGGTTTTGGTGATTGTTTGGTTGAGATAGTTACAATGCATTGTGTTTTGAATTTTTTGCACAAACTATATATGCATTGTTTGTTTGGTATGACACAAACTATAACTCAAAATGAGTGATAGTTAAATCTCAAGTTTTTTGTGAGATTGTCGAGAATGTTTGATTGAGATTGTTGAGTTTTTTTTCTTCCAACTATGTTCCTACCTTTTTATGTGTGTTGCTTTCTTATATAAAAAACAAAGGGTAAAAGTGATATTTCACCCCAAAAGTAATATAACTTATTTAAATACTACAATAACTATCACATAAACCAAACGATGTAAATTACAATACACTCATTTTCTTATATACATATATATTAGGGTTAATACAATTTATTAACCAAACCTTTCATTTCAAACAAAATAATAGCCAAACCTTTAAAAAAATAAAATTGTTGATGTGACTTGAATCGGACTATCAGCCGCTACGACTGGTAATCGGGGGTCTCTGTAACCGTTTCCTTTGTCAGATTGGATTAGGTTTAGACCCACATGGAGAAGTACTATATATACTTCTCATACTCCTCTGTAATCTGTAATCTCCTTGATATAGTGAAACTGGCTCTCTCTCGCCCGTGGACGTAGCTAACACACATCGTGTTAGTGAACCACGTAAATCGTGTGTCTGTGTTTTCGATTCTCGCTTTCGTATTCTTGCTTTGTCGATTCCGGCTATTTCCCGATCCGTAGCAGCGCGTTTATAACAAGTGGTATCAGAGCCGCGGCTAGAAATCAGGCTAGGGTTTTCGATTTAGAAGAATGACATCGGTGAACATGAAGATCGAAAAGTTCACGGGGAAGAACAGCTTCGCTATATGGCAGATCAAGATGCAGGCTTTATTAAAACAGCAAGGGCTGTGGGGGCCGCTGTCTGCGAAACAGAAGAAGGCAGCGGTCGATGACGATGAGTGGAATACCCTGGAGGAGAAGGCCCACTCGACCATCATGCTATCGTTGTCTGATGACGTCATCATTGAAGTCGCTGCTAAGAAGACTGCCGCGGGCTTGTGGTTGAAACTAGAGAGTTTGTACATGACTAAGTCTCTAACCAACAAGCTGCATCTCAAGCAACGGTTGTTCAGCTTGAGGATGCAAAAAGGTACGCCTTTGAGGGAACATCTCGAACAGCTTAACTCTATTTTGCTGGATCTGCGTAATATAGATGTTCAAGTTGATGACGAGGATGCTGCCCTAATCCTACTGGTTTCTTTGCCGAGTTCATATGAGAATTTCGTTGATTCTTTTATTGCTGGTAAAGAAAGCGTGTCGTTGGAGGATGTCAGGTATGCTCTTCATACGAGAGAGATCATACATAAGGCGTCCGGATCTGGTACAGGTGGTGAGGCATCGGGTTTGGCTGTTACAGGTGGAAAGGGAAAGAAGAAATCTGGTAAAGGAAATTCGAACAAGAATTCCAAGGGTCCCGGTCCACAGCCAGGTGATGCTTGCCATAACTGTAAAGAAGTGGGGCATTGGAAGTACAATTGTCCCAAGAGAAGAGGGCAACAGAAGAAACAAGGTTTAGTTGCCGTGGCAGAAGTGGACAACAGTTCTGAAGACGATCTCGCCTTGGCTGTAGATGAGAAGGCACATCGTGGGGATGTGTGGTTTCTGGATACTGCAGCCTCATACCATATGTCTCCGAACAGGAATTGCTTCACAACCTACGAGCAGATAGATGGTGGTAACGTGGTCATGGCTAATGGAGTTGTCTGCAAGGTTGTTGGAATCGGGTCCATAAAGGTTCGGACACATGATGGTTCGTTCTGTACCGTGAATGATGTCAGGCATGTTCCACGAATGACAAAGAACCTGATCTCCTTGAGTCTACTCGACAGCAAGGGTTTCAGTTTCAAAAGAAAAGGTGGAGTTGTGTATGTCTGCAAAGGTTCAAGGAAGGTGCTGAAGGGCGTGAAGCGTGGGACCTTGTATGCATTACAAGGGTCTGTGTTGTCTGGTTCTGCTGCAGTTGCATCGTCTCAGGTTCAACAGGAAGATATGACCACTCTCTGGCACATGAGACTAGGGCATATGAGTGAACGGGGGATGCAAGTTCTGTCGAAGAGTGATCTTCTTTGTGGGCACAAGATGCAGAATTTGGAATTCTGCGAGCATTGTGTGTTTGGGAAGCTACATCGCAGCAAGTTTCCCAAGAAGGGTATCCACCGGACGAAGGGGATACTAGATTACCTCCACTCCGACTGTTGGGGTCCTTCACGAGTTGAATCCATTGGAGGCAGCAGGTATTTTCTGTCTATTATTGATGATTATTCGAGATTTACTTGGATTTTCATGATGAAGCAGAAAAGTGAGGCTTTCACGAAGTTCAAGCAGTGGAAGACATTGGTGGAGAATCAGACCGGGAAGAAGATCAAAAAGTTGCGAACAGACAATGGTCTGGAGTTCTGTAATTCTGAGTTCAACGAATTCTGCAAGGATGAAGGGATTGCCCGTCATCGGACTGTGAGAGATACACCTCAGCAGAATGGCGTTGCAGAAAGGATGAACCAGACATTGTTGGAGAGAGCACGGTGCATGCTCTCTAATGCTGGACTAGAGAGAAGATTCTGGGCAGAAGCAGTGAACTTGGCATGCTTCCTGATCAACCGTGGACCTCACACAGGTATTGAGTTGAAGACTCCTTATGAGGTGTGGTATGGTAAGCCTGCTGATTACTCTTCACTGAAAGTTTTTGAATGTCCTATTTATTATCATGTGGATGAGGGTAAACTGAACCCAAGGGCAAAGAAGGGTGTATTTGTGGGTTACGAAGATGGAGTTAAGGGATTTCGAGTCTGGTCACCTTCTGAGCATCGAGTTATACTCAGTAGAAATGTGATTTTTGATGAGAAGTCTATGTTTAACCCCATGTTGAAGATTACTGTTGTTGAAGGTAGCAGGAATGTTGATAAGCAGGTGGAGCTGCAAACTCTCAATGAGAGTGAGTTTGAGCACCAAGGTGGAGAAGATCAACATGAGGATGTTTCTACAGAGCCAGAAACTTCAAAGTCCAGTGCAGGAGCTCAACAGTCTATAGCTTCCGGTAGACCAAAGAGAGCGACTGCAGGAGTACCTCCAGAGAGGTATGGCTTTGAGGACATGGTGGCGTATTCATTTCAGGTTGCTGAAGAAGTGGATGCAGGAGAGCCACAGTCCTATAGAGAAGCAGTTTCGGGTGGTGAAGCTGATCAGTGGCTTGCCGCAATGGGAGATGAGATGGAATCCCATGACAGGAATCAGACTTGGGAGCTAGTCAAACGACCACAGGGAAGGAAGATTGTTACAAACAAGTGGATCTACAAGAAGAAGGAAGGAATCACTTCTAAAGAGGGCATGAAATTTAAAGCTCGGGTGGTTGCACGAGGCTTCTCGCAGAGGGAAGGAGTTGACTACAATGATATTTTCTCACCAGTGGTCAGACATACTTCGATCAGAGTGCTACTAGTAATAGTGGCACATTGTGACTTGGAGCTCGAGCAGCTAGACGTGAAGACAGCTTTCCTACATGGAGAGTTGGAGGAAGAAATTTACATGACTCAGCCAGAAGGATTCGAGGTTCCGGGAAAAGAAGACTATGTTTGTAAGCTGAAGAAGTCCTTGTATGGACTTAAGCAGTCTCCGAGGCAGTGGTACAAGAGATTTGACAGTTACATGCTTGAGCTGGGCTATAGCAGAAGTCCATATGATTGTTGTGTGTATCACAACAAGGTGGAGGATGGTTCGATGATCTATCTTGTTCTGTATGTGGATGATATGCTCATAGCTGCGAGGTCGAAGTCTGATATCCAGAAGTTAAAGGGGCTTCTCAGTGCTGAGTTTGAGATGAAGGATTTGGGAGCTGCTCATAAGATCTTGGGTATGGAGATTTACAGGGACAGGTCGAAGAAGAAGCTTTTCTTGTCACAGAAGAGCTACATCCAAAAGATACTGTCGAGGTTTGGCATGTCTTCAGCAAAGCCCTTAAATACTCCTAGTGCTTCAAATGTTCATCTATCCTCAGCTTATGCACCGCAGTTAGAGGCTGAGAAGGAGTACATGTCGAGAGTCCCATATGCTAGTGCAGTAGGTAGCTTGATGTACGCTATGGTATGCACTAGACCTGATCTTGCACATGCTGTTAGTGTTGTCAGCAGGTTTATGATACAACCTGGGAAGGAGCATTGGCAGGCTGTGAAGAGGATCTTCCGGTACCTTAAGGGTACACCTGATGTGGGGATTAGCTTCGGAAGTGATACAGAGTGCTTGGTGTCTGGGTATTCTGACTCAGACTATGCTGGAGATGTTGACACGAGGAGATCGATGACCGGTTATGTATTCACTCTTGGGAGTTCTGTAGTGAGCTGGAAGGCAACTTTGCAGTCAGCGGTGACATTGTCTACTACTGAGGCAGAGTATATGGCATTGACAGAAGCTGCTAAGGAGGGAATATGGTTGAAGGGACTGGTTGGTGATCTTGGTCTACATCATGATCAGGCAGTGGTGTATTGCGACAGTTTGAGTGCAATATGCTTGGCCAAGGATCAAGTCCACCATGAGAGGACTAAGCACATCGATGTGAGGTATCATTTCTTGAGGACAGAGAAGAGGATTAAGGTGAAGAAGGTTGGCACCGCGGATAATCCTGCTGATATGTTCACGAAGCCGGTTCCACATGGCAGGTTCCAACACTGCTTGGACTTGCTGAATGTCCTGAGTGGGTGACTCCGCCCTACGGGGCATTGATGGCGGGAGAGAAAGAGAAGGAGCTGGGTACATCAGAGATTTTCAGAGGAAGAGGATTCAAGTCAAGGTGGAGATTTGTTGATGTGACTTGAATCGGACTATCAGCCGCTACGACTGGTAATCGGGGGTCTCTGTAACAGTTTCCTTTGTCAGATTGGATTAGGTTTAGACCCACATGGAGAAGTACTATATATACTTCTCATACTCCTCTGTAATCTGTAATCTCCTTGATATAGTGAAACTGGCTCTCTCTCGCCCGTGGACGTAGCTAACACACATCGTGTTAGTGAACCACGTAAAATCGTGTGTCTGTGTTTTCGATTCTCGCTTTCGTATTCTTGCTTTGTCGATTCCGGCTATTTCCCGATCCGTAGCAGCGCGTTTATAACAAAAATAATAACCAATCCATTAACTTTCCATCCAATTGAGTGTCAGTTGACCCTAACATGGCAATTTATGCAACCCTAATCCTTTCGTTTGATCTACCTAATTTTCCCTAATCTAGGACGACGACGATGACCTGACCCCAACGCTCGCACAAGAACATAGGGGAAGAGGAAGAGCGGATCATGATGCCACCGTCACAGCAGTGACTAAGTCATTGTACGTCGTGCCAAACAGATATATTAGGAGTTTGTTGTGTGTTCGTTTCGAAAGTAAAAAAAAAAAACTGTAATAGTAACGGTAAATCATTGCTGGGATTAATTGACATCTTTTGGATTTTCAATTCGATTTTTTGATCAATATGAAAGAGGGCTTGATCTAATAGAAAATAGTTAGGGCAATAATTCAATTCACGTTTCTCTTTTTTCTTGGGGTAGCAAAATGTGAAAAGGGGAGACTATTAGTGAGGCATTGAAATTGCAATCAATAAGTGGGAGGTGATATGATTGTGAATTTGTGATTGTGACATTGGAGGAGTGTGGTGGCAATGGAAACATAGAGACCAAACTATACAGTAGCGATCATGCAATGCAATTGAAGAGAGAGGGCCACATACACTCAGAATCTACACATTAAAAAGGTTCATGGAAAGGGTTAATCTTACCTGCTGCTCTCTTTCTCTTTTTCCTTTATTTGGCTTTCAACCCCGCAATGACTTTTTCTTTCCCTTTTGTCTCTCATGTATGTTAGAGTGTGCCCAAAATATGCCTAAGGTTTGAGATCCGAAACAGGTTAATTGTACATGAAATCAAATCGGGGCGGGTATTCGATAATTGTAGCAGGTTGGGTCTAGGTCGAGTAATTTATTGTAAAACGCGGATCGAATCATGTCGAAATATATAGGTCGAATAATTTATTGTAGAACGCGTTTCACATAGATGATCTTATGGCACCAAATTGTGAAGTCATTTTCATGTTGAGTTGGCAATACATTATATGGATTGGTATTCAAAATTTTCAAACAGGTTCAAGACTTTCTGTTTCCATCATTGTCACGCATAAAGGCTTTGTCTTCGTTTGCTTATAATTATCTCTTTTCCTTTTCTGGTCTGAATCGTTCATTATGTTCTTGGCCCCTACAAAGAAACGCTATCCTTACAGCTTTAGGATTTGGATTATCCCTTCGTTTCGTTTCGTTTCCATGCGTTGGTTTTCTTTGATACTGCAGAGATCCTTCCAATGATATTATCCAGTTTTGTCTTCTTTCAGGTTGTATGCCCGATAAATTCTAGTCGTCGATTCAATTCAATTATAGTCGGATAGAATCATAACGCCAATTAATTAAACTTCACAAATATTAATTTTCATATTTGAGGCTAGGGGTGGGCAATGAACGGGTTGGATGGATTTTGGTCTCAAATTGACCCACCCGTTTATTCGCGGATTGATGTGATTGTAAACCGATATCCACCCACATTTTTCTTTGAGTTGGGTCGAGTGTGTGGCAGATGGGTTCGGTTGAATTGTGGATTAACCCGCAAAATCAATTCTCCAACTAGTCATTAAACAAGTTGGCTACATTTATAACAAGTTCCTTGAAAGTTATTAACCCCGTAGAAATTTAGACACCTCCCACTTTGTCTCTAGTAGATCCTTGTAGTATTTCCATAAAATCATTCATTACTTCATCAATTAATTGTGTAAAGAAAATTGACGATTATTGCTACTTTTTTTTATGAATCGTTGGGATCTTTATTCGTCAAAAAGTGGTTGCTAGCAACACCCTTGCTAGCTAGGGAATCAAACCAAAAATGTGAAAACAGTTAATGCAAACCTTCCTCTAAGACAGATCACAATTTAAACATTCCAAAAGAGTCTCACCCTATCACAGCCTAAAACACACACAACCTCGGATTTGATGACAAGCAGCACCTCCTGAAAACCTTTAACATTAACTCCATACAGTCGACGACAGCGTTCTCTCCAAACCTGACTTACCCACGATTGCCAGATGAGCCTTCCCGTTTCAGCAACTTCCGTTTGGTGGCTATACTTCAACATCATCCATGAAACCATTTCCTCCCAAGTTTGGATTAAAGGAACCTGCACAGAGCCACTAAATAGCTCATCAAGGAGCTGCCCGGTGAAAGGACAGAGGGCAAACAAATGTTGTCTGCTCTCAGTCCCTCCCCCACAAAAAGCACAAGCCAGCGATCCCAAAAACCCCCCATTTCTGCATTCTGTCCATTTGCTGGATATACTTCAACATCATCCATCAAACGGTTGCTCGGTATAGCCTTACCTTTCCAGAGAACTTTCCACCAGTCCACCTTCTGCTGAGTAGGTCGAATAAGCTGCCACACTCTTTTAATAGAAACCGAGGCATAGGAAGATCATCAAGAAGCAGAACATCATCCCTGGTCGAGATGAAAGAAGATACCTTGCTTCTCAGCTTAAGATTTTGCACCAGTTCCAAGACCCTGATGTGCAGGTGTATCTCCAAAAGCACCTACCCTTCAGCTGAGAAGCAATACACAATATAGTAACGGATAGTAATACAAAATATTATCCATTCTCCGTGTCTAGGTATATCATCAGTATGTAGTGTGGTTAGAAAATTTGATGACTATTCGACAATATAAACAAGAAACAACTTTTTGTCATGTGAGAATAGGATGCATGTCATTTGGGTAACCCGCAATCCATCCACCACTCATCCGCATAGGTGCGTGTAGGAGATTTGTCAATCCACCCACATCAATTACCTACCACTACGATTCGGATTATTTACGGGTGGATCGATATCAAATCGCAGATCAACCACCCGCACAAACGGCCCTATTAGAAGCAACAATTTAGATTGAAGAATCTGCTAAATTCTCCCATATGTTGGGTAGAAAACTACTTAGTATCAATACTATACAATATTATAAAATCCCTTATTTCGACCGAAGTAGAGCTACCGATTTGTGTATATGATCGAATTGCTTTGCCAACAACCGTGATACTTAATTTTTTTTTTTTAAAGGTGTTCATCATGTCATGTCCCCTTATTACCACTAGGTGACACACATAGTCTTGGGTCTAGTACGCTATGCATGGATGTATTGCAGGAGGTTGGGGATATTTGGTGGGTGGTTTAGAGGATTTGATTTAATAATTTATGGGATTAGTGGAATGGGCTTTCAGTGAATAGAAGGGAAAAGTAATGCGATGGCCCAAATGACAGAGTGGATTTGTAGGAAGAATGGGCCCGACTTGGGGGGAGGTTGAAGTGAAACGCACGTAACCAACCGACCACATGAGCACATCCACGTGAACCCCACGTCTTTAATCTTTATTCTCCATCATACACTTATTAATCAATTAATAAATTCTTATAATTTGGACAAACAAGAGGATTTAATAAAAATTGGTAAATCTCGATTTAGCTTTAAGCACCTTCGCAAGTAGAAATTATTAGGGTGTATAGGTGAGTTTGGCCATCAAAGGTAAGATAGTCTAACGGTAAGTTGCCGTGATAGTGAACGATTGGAAGTTGTATATTTCATGTTTGATCCAAGCGAAATCCTTTGGTGTTTCCAGAGGTATGAGACTGCTGAGGGTGAAGCCCCGTTGACGTCAAATTGATTGCAGGTGGCCCCAAATTTATTAGGCCCTGTTCTTACAAAGTGGCACGTAAAGATGACGTTGCTGGATAATAATAATAAAAAGCTGAGTTTGGCCAAATTTTACACTAATCGATTATATTGATCCAAAAATTTTGAAATTCTTGAAAGATGTTCAACTTTAAAAAAAAAAATCCTAATTTGATTGGAGTTTTGATTGTCTGTTACCTTGAAGGTTCAATATTGAGTGCACGTGGCTGATGTGGATGCAATATCAGCTGAAGAAATTTAAAAAATAAATAATTTGGAAATAATTAAAAAAATATAAAAAAAATTAATTTCATTATTATATAAATTAAAAAATCCATTAAATACTCCCACACTCTCTCCTTCACATATTTGCATTAGGGATATACATGGATCTAGCGATTCAGGTTTAGTCATTTTAATCACCAGATCCACACACTTCAATTTTGAAAACACCACATCTAAACCCACACAATAAAATTAAAATTTCACTGTTTGTTTATGGTTGGATTGGGTCAGGTGGACAATACTTATAAGTAAAAACTCAAGTAAACACTAAAAATGCAACTATTCTGTACAAAAAGTAAAGTAATTTATAACTAATTAAATTTCAATCAAATTAATTGAAGTGGAAGGTATCAAAATGCATAGAAGGTGTCGCTTGGATATAGATTAAATGTAATTTGTTTCAACATATGTCTATTATGTTTCATAAACATTTAATAAAATAAGCAAAAATCTTATGCATAATAAGGGAATGCATCCATATATTATTCTTCTAAAAGTATCCACAAGAAAAAAAATGTGAATCATAACTTTATGCATCCATAGTATATTATTCTTCTAAATATACGTGCCTAAATTTTAAATTGAAAAATGCATAAGTTTAGCTAGACCACAAAAGAAAATTATGAATAAATTCTTAGCTTTCTCACAAACATGCTTGTATAGGAGACAAATGCGTTTTAGATACGAACACTTAGAACAACAATTGTAACATAGACTCAGGTTGGTATCTATGGGTTGCATAACCCAAAACTCGCACCAAACCCAAAAGAGAAGGTTTCACAAAATAAAACCAACAATCAACCTAAAACTTTAGTTTTAGCGGTAAATACGATGAGTTAGGGTAGGGTTACAGTTATTTTTGGTCACTCTTAAATCACATAGCTCTACCACTAATTTAATTTCATAAAAAAAAAATTATCCCCAAATTTAATATCATTAATTGATGTATGTATAGATGGCAGCGAGGATTTCCATGAGACATTATGGGCAACGATAACAATTTCGACCTAACCTTTGTTTACCCTGACTTGTTTAACCTGTTTGGGGACTGGTATTACTCGCCCCGTAGGTGACACAGGATGGGTATGGGTACTCCTCTCGACCCGACTTGTCCTAACCTGCCTCAGTCTCTACTCATTGTTTTCCTAAATCACATGTAATTTTACTCAAATTACATATAATTTTATTTTTAGGGTGTGCCTACGGTGACATGCATGTCACGGTGACTTGCACTTTCCGGTCGACCTCAGTTAGGATTAGGTCGACCTCATTTAGAATTCGGTCGACCTCATATAGGATCTGGTCGACCTCATTTAGGATTCGTTCGACCTCATATAGGATCAGGTCGACCTAATCTGTTGTTTCAGTGTAAAAACAGTTCATGGTGCCTACTTTGGATATTCATATCATACAATTGGCTAGATGGAAATTGAAGACTAATGACTTGTTTTGAAGCTGGAGTGTCCCTCTACATATTGAAGTGATTGAGAGCTCGATAGGAAGTCCAGAAGACCATTTTTGAACCTCATCAAAAGGCTATGCCAAAACTGGGAAACAGCCTAGAAATGGCTACGTCTGGAAACGTGTTTGTGAAGCCTGTTTTGGAGCTCAATTCGAGAAGCATGAATGCGAGTCGAGTCCAGGAGCCTCTACCACGTTAAATTAGGTATGTTTTTATGCCAATTTAAGGCATTGGATGAAAGATTGGATATCTGTAAGGCTTCAAACAAAAGGGTCGAAGTTGCTACGAAGGCTGTTTTTCTGGCAGACTTCGAGCACAAGCAAGCTGCCAAAAAAACAGCATTCGTAGCAACTTCGACCCTTTTGTTTGAAGCCTTAAAGATATTCAATCTTTCATCCAATGCCTTTCCTTTATATTAAAAAGAGACGTAATTTAATGTGGTGGAGGCCCCTGGACTTGACTCGCATCCATGCTTCTCAAATTGAGCTCCAAAGTAGGCTTGACAAACACGTTGCCAGACTTGGCCATTTTCAGGCAGTTTCCCAGTTTTGGCATAGCTTTTTGGTCAGGTTCAAAAATGGTCTTCTGGACTTTCTATTGAGCTCTCAAGTACTTTAATGTGTAGAGGGACACTTCATCTTCAAAACAAGCCTTTAATCTCCAATTGCCATCTAGCCAATTGTAAGATATGAATCTCCAAAGTAGGCACCATGAAACTGTTTTTACACTGAAACAACATATTAGGTTGACCTGATCCTATATGAGGTCGACCGAAAATTGCATGTCACCGTGACATGCATGTCACCGTAGCAAAGTCCTTATTTTTATTATCTCATATCTAAGCTATAACGAAGTAAATAGGCGAGAACTTTAATTTCTCGAATAATTTAACTATATTTATCATATTATAGTTTGTGTCTCGATTTGTCAATGAAAAAAAATTCTAATATTTTCTTTTAAACTACATAACTATATGGGTAAACCTACCCAGGCCCGCACCCATGATAAATTATCCAACCTGTACCTGACATGCCACATGACAAGTATTGGTATCAAAATACCCACCCAAACCTGTTGTTAGCGGATTATGGGAAGTGTCTTGGGCCACGGAAATTTATGATTGATGATTGGCCCAAGCCCATGCAACCCGAACCATGCAAACGTAGGCATGCTAGGGTTTCTGACTTGTATTTATTTCCCATGTATCCCACCGAAAACACTCAAGCAAATATAGTACGATTTCTTCTTGGAGAGCTTGCCTCTCCCGTGGATTAGTCCTGGCATTCCAGGGATACCACGTTAAATCCGTGTGTTCATCTCGTTAACCTTTTGATTTATTTAGATACGTTAACATGGTATCAGAGCTTTCGGCGCCTGATTCTGAGAGACTGTCAATTCGGCTCAACCCAAAGAATTACATGCTGTGGGAATTTCAATTCCGTGTTCGTGTTGAAGGGAAGGGACTCGCCCGGGTCCTGGATGGAACAGATCCGAGGCCAGACTCCACGGCCACTGCCGAGCATATCACACACTGGAACATGAATGATGCTCGGGTAAGATCGTGGATCCTAGACTCGGTTGATCCAAATATTTGTTTGAGCCTCCATATGCATAAGACTGCACAAGATATGTGGAAACAATTGGCTGCTACTTATTCAACCGCAAGTGCCGCGCGACAATTTGAGGTCCAGATTGCGTTGGATAAGTTGGAACAAGGAGATAGGGATATTACAGCTTACCTCACTGCCGCACAAGAATTGTGGACCGAAGAAGATTTACTCACCTTGTCACTACGACCTGCCGCAACTTCAGTTGTCTTGATTGAGGAACGCAAGCATGCTCGCCTTCTCCATTTTCCGATGCGGCTAAGACCAGAGTTTGAGCCCATCAGATCGGCCATCATTCATCGTGGAGCGCTGTCAATGGATGGTGTTGTTGGTGATTTGATAAGGGAAGAGACCCGCCTGAGAACCCAGGCCAAGTTGGACCTCCGCCCCGGCGACAGTGAGTCGCCCCTTGTTGCTGCCGCAGGAGATGATGCTGCCTTCGCCGTGGGACGACCGCAATTCCACCGTCGAATCCCGATCGCGGAATTGCACTGCCACCATTGCAAGGAGAAAGGCCACCTTCAAAAATATTGCCGGAAACGTAACCTGTGCGTGTACTGTAAAAAGGGCGGGCATATCATACTCGACTGCAGGCTCTTTGTCAAACACCATGGGAAGCATGCAGAGATGTCGGACAACCCCCAGGAGCAGCCGCGATCCGACACTCGCCGCACCGATCGCCCTGCTTATTCCGCGCAGCTGGCCGAAGGGAGTGGGGCAGGGTTTTCAGCTGCCAAGATAGAGGAATTAGTGAATGCGGCGCTACAGAAATCATTGCCAACTGCTATCAACTCCGCATTTGCTGCTATGCAGGTTACAGGTAAGAAACCCTCACCATGGCTACTGGATTCTGCTTGTTATAACCATATGACACAAAATTCAGATGTTCTTACTAGCATTCAACTTGTGCGTCATATGAACTTACGGGTAGCTAATGGTGAGCATTTGGCGGTTCAAGGAATGGGATGTGTAAAACAACCTAGGATTAATTTACCTAATACGTTACATGTTCCCAACTTAGTGCCTAATCTAGTGTATGTTGGACAACTTACTGATCACGGATGCTCGGTTACGTTTGCACCGTCTGGCTGTGTTGTGCAGGACCTGAAGACGGGGAGGCAAATCGGCAGAGGGAGTAAGCAGGGGTGGTTATTTCAATTAGAAGAGCTCATCAGTCCATCATCATCATCGTCCTCTCCTGTCTCCGATAATAGTAGGCATGTCAGTAGTCCTTTGGTGTCTAGTTTTTCAAGTCTTCCTAGTGAGTCGAATAATGTTTGGGATTTGTGGCATTCACGTTTGGGTCACCCTAACTCTGGTCGTTTGTTACAAATGTTTCGTCAGTCTTTGTTAGGCAAGCACAATGTTTCTATGTTGTCTAAACATAATTGCACCAGTTGTGTTGAAGCTAAAACCATCAGTATTTCTTCCCCTTCTAGTTCCACGGTGATTTCTGAACCCTTTCACATTATACACTCTGATCTATGGGGACCATCTTTTGTGCTTTCTCGCCATGGGTTTCGATACTTTGCGTTATTTGTTGACCATGCCACCAGGTTCACATGGGTTTACTTTCTCCGTCTTAAATCCGATCTTAAGGCTATTGCCGAGGAGTTTTTGAAAATGGTGCAAACCCAGTTCAATAAACCTGTTAAAATCCTTCGTTCTGATCCGGGGGGTGAGTTTAGTTCGAATCCTCTGTTGGCTTTGTATCGATCTCTTAGTACATTGTGTCAGAAATCTTGTCCTGGTGTGTCGCAGCAGAATGGTTTAGTTGAGCGTAAGAATAGACATGTCCTTGACCTAACTCGTGCCCTCCTCATTGAGTCGCAGGTCCCTTCTCGTTTCTGGCCTGAAGCTGTTGCTACGGCTGTCCGTCTCATAAACTATCAGATCACCCCGGTTCTTCAAAATGTTAGCCCATTCTTTGCATTATACTCTCGTCATCCTGACTATTCTCGTCTCCGGGTTTTTGGGTGCTTGTGCTTTGTTCTCATGCCACGGAAGGAACGCACTAAGTTAACTCCTAAAACAGCTCGGTGTGCGTTCCTTGGGTATAGCGACATTCACAAAGGGTATATTTGTTATTACCCTGTCTTGCAACATGTGCGTATAGCAGCTACTGTGGTATTCTTTGAGAATTTTAGGTTCTTTCCTTCTGTTGAGTCCGAAAATCATTTGTTCAATCCCATGTCCCAGTTGCCTAGTTTTGATGATGATGATACTGAGAATGATGATGGTTTGCCGCCCCCTGAGGAACCTCCCTCTCCCCTGCCGAACATGCCTCCCACTCCGCCTGGGACGACTCCCGCCTCTTCCTCAAGCTTGCACTTGGACTCGCCTGACACATCGAGCTCCTCGACGTCCCATGCCTCGATGTCACACTCCTCGACCGCGACTTCTGCTGCATCGGCTGCGGATGGAGGGTCCCCTCCGCCGTCACCACCTCATGACAACCCGCGCCTATCTCTTCGGGTTAATAAAGGTCAGCCACCACCTCGGTTCAATGAGTATTTTGCCTATGGGATTGATGCTTTGGTAGTTCCTACGAGTTATAAGCAGGCGGAGGGTAATCCGTTGTGGGAGGCGGCCATGCAAACGGAGATCGATGCTGTGCATGCCAATAAGACGTGGACGGTGGTGGATGGGCCTCCTCCTGAGGTGCCTGTTATAGGTTGTCGGTGGTTATATGCGTTAAAAATGACCCCGCAAGGGGAGATTGAACGTCATCGGGCCCGAATTGTAGCGCAGGGTTACTCCCAGGAACAAGGGATCGACTTTGACGAAAATTTTGCTCCGGTGGCTAAAATGGCTACTGTACGTACACTTCTGGTGGTGGCATCTGTTCGTCGCTGGCCGTTGTTCCAGTTTGACGTCAAGAATGCGTTTTTGCATGGGGATTTAAAAGAGGTTGTCTATTTGGAGAAGCCTCCGGGATACAACGTTGGTTCACCGGGACAGGTTTGTCTACTTCATCGGTCGTTGTATGGACTCAAACAGGCTCCGCGGGCGTGGTTTGAGAAATTTCAGACTACCGTTCAGAAGCTGGGTATGCGGCAAAGTTTGAGCGATCCGTCTCTATTTACTCAAACCACTGCGGCAGGTATTGTTGTTCTCCTCCTCTATGTTGATGACATGGTGGTCACCGGTGATGATACTCATGAGATTACTGCCCTTAAACGCGGCCTTCAGGAGGCGTTTCACTTGAAAGATTTAGGCAACTTGTCATATTTTCTTGGGCTCGAGATCAGTCGGAATGACCAGGGCATTCACATTGGGCAACGGAAGTATATTGGGGACTTATTGAGTGAACATCACTTTGATGATTGTCAACCGGTCAGTACACCGATGGAATTGAATTTGAAGCTCCGACGTGATTCCGGCAGCTCATTACCAGAGGGTGACAGCTCCTGTTATCGTAGCTTGGTGGGGAGTCTCATTTACTTAGCTGCCACCCGCCCTGACATTTCCTATGTTGTACAGATGGTTAGCCAGTTTATGGCGGTCCCTCACCGGGATCATTTGGCTGCGGCCCACAGGATTCTCCGGTACTTGAAGGGCACGTAGGATGTTGGTATGTTCTTCCCATCCACAGGCTCACTTGGTCTACGTGCTTTTTCCGATTCTGATTTTGCAGGATGTGTAGACACCCGTCACTACGGGTTGGTGTGTTCAGTTTGCTGGTTCCTTCATTTCATGGCGGTGTAAGAAACAGGATAAGGTATCCAAGTCCTCTACGGAGGCGGAGTATCGGGCTATGTCTGATGTCTGTTCCGAGCTTGTTGGGCTGCAACGTTTATTGGGAGATCTCAGCGTTTCATGTTCAGTGCCTCTTGTTGTTTTCGTGGATAACACCAGTGCCATTCAGATTGCGATTAATCTGGTTCTCCATGATCGCACGAAGCACATCGAGCTTCATGTCCATTATGTTCATGATTTGGTGCGCGAGGGCTCGGTTCGGCTGCAGTATCTCAAAACGGAAGAGCAGATTGCGGATATATTTACTAAGCCTTTTACCAGTAGTCGGCATTGGTACCTCTCAAGCAAATTGATGCTTCGTTCCCGGCATCAATTTGGGGGAGGCTGTTAGCGGATTATGGGAAGTGTCTTGGGCCACGGAAATTTAAGATTGATGATTGGCCCAAGCCCATGCAAACGTAGGCATGCTAGGGTTTCTGACTTGTATTTATTTCCCATGTATCCCACCGAAAACACTCAAGCAAATATAGTACGATTTCGTCTTGGAGAGCTTGCCTCTCCCGTGGATTAGTCCTGGCATTCCAGGGATACCACGTTAAATCCGTGTGTTCATCTCGTTAAACTTTTGATTTATTTAGATACGTTAACACCTGTCCATTGACATTCCTAATTATGGGTATACTTTTATTAGTTACTTGTAAAAAAATGGGTTAGAGATCACTCTTTCATTTTGATGGTTCAAAATGTAGGTACGAGAAATCTGGACCGTAAATAAATCATTGAATTTGAACTCAAAAACTTCCCTCCATCGGTTAAGAAATTGGTCCAACCAATCATGGTTAATTGGCGGTTAGAAAAAAAGGTCCTGATTTAATTCAATATATCCAACGGTGGAGATTATGCCGGCATGGATGCAGGCACGACACCACAGTCTTCTTCCCCGAGATCAATCGAACCAAATTCGGGTTGAGGGGCACCGACTAAGGAGCCCAAAAAAATTAAAATAAAGAAAACAAATCCAGGCTAGGCAGAACTAGGAAGGCCATGGGATCGTGGAATGGTAATATGGTGATACCATTACCAACTCAGCACAAAGATTCTTAAGGGAACAACATAATTCCCATTTTCCACGATTCAAGTTTTATATAATCTTCTTCTAAAGTAAGATATGCTGAGGCTGTCAAAGGCAATCCCCCCCAATTATATTTGCCATTTTTGGAATTGGAAGGTACTCTTTCTTCATCCCCTAAACATTCCCAACAAATCCATGTCTGGATCATTGAAATGCCAGCATGAATACACTCACTCTTAGTTCGCTTTAGATTCATTTTAAATAAAATTTCATGTCGATAAAGTACGAGAGATTCATCATTCATAAGGAACATCCAGTTTTAATTGACAAGACATGTTTTGAACGTGAAAATGGAGGAGTTCTTGTAAGAATTTTGAAATTAAACGTGCTTAGTGTAGATTACCTCCCGTGAAGTCATCCCGATGCACCACAAAAATAAAATCGTGCACAGTTAGGGCCAAAGTAGACAATATTTTTATGTTTTGTGCAAATTCATGTGCAAATCTCTAAACTCTACATCCTTAAAATTAAAGTAAATTTTTAATGTTTTGTGCAAATTCATGTGCGTTATTGTTCTTCACATCATAAGTGATGATTGACATCATTTTGACCTAAATCGCATGTTTAAAATGACGATTGTGAAGCGAGTGCACTGAATGCACCCCAAAAAGTGAGTGCACCGAAGAAGCCACCACATATATATATAATTCATTTGTTGGAATAATTTCCCACTTTTCCTACATATTTTGTTAAATCGAAATAAGCTGACATATACTCGTTGTACCGCAGTCGGAGCATTGGACTTGCTAAACTGGCGTGACGGCGTCAAACCGATTTAACAACCTTACACGATTTGTGTATATAAAAGAACAATAATAGACAAATAATTATAAACAAGAACAATAAAGACAATTGTATTTCATACTCACAAATCTAATTCATCAAAATCCATCAAGCAGTTTTGTCCAAATCCATAATGTACTAATTCCATAATAAATTCATGATTTTATCAAATCCAAATTTTAATGAAAACTTTCATTTTTTCAAAATCATGAAATCAATGGCCACTTCTCTTCTCTAATACCAAGCCAAAAGAAGTGTTTATTAGACTATTGATTTAATGGGTGAAAAGAAGTACATAAACGAACAAATAACGGCAATCCACCCATTAAATGCAAAGAACTTTCAATTCATCCTTAATTACTTACAACCCCATCCCCCAATTAACAAACTCAACATCCATCATAATCATCATTTATGAAAAATATTTTTGTGCACATAATATAAAAGAAAATAACCAAATACAGAATAAAAATAAAAAACAATTAAGGGGGGAAAACGCATAAATAAAAAAATATATAAAAGGAAAAAAATGAAGTCGTGCATTGCAATAACTTCCTTAACCCCACCCAACCGTTTCCTTTTTCTCCCCCTTTCCTTCTGCTCATCTTTCCTCTCTCTCGCTCTTCTTCTTCTCTCCTTCATCATCTCCTTCATTATCTGTAAAACTACAGCCAATGTTTTTTTCTGGGCAGGAAAAGAAAATATTTTGGGCTGTGCTGCTGAAAGGAATCAACGTTAACAGAAGGAGTAGAGAGTAAGTCTGGGGGGACAACCTTTGAACATCCATTAAATACTCTTCCATTAAACGACAGGTGCTCTGTCTTTCTTTCCCCTGTTTTTCCCTCTCTGTACTCTGTTTTCTCTTTTCACTTTTACTTTTTTTTTTATTAACATGCGAATCTGTCTTGTAAAATAAACGAAGAAGAAAGTGGACCCTTTGAGCAACTCAGAGATAAACGGAGGAAAGGCCGGAACTTTTCTTCTTCTTGTTTTTTTTTTTTTACTGTAGTGATCAGTGTTGGGTAACCTTCAAAACCCAGGCTTTTGTTTTTTTCCAGGGAGAAGAATAATACCCAGTTCCAAAAATCTCTTCTTCCAAGTTGCAATTCTTCCTTCTCTTTTATTTTTTTGGCTCTGTAAAATTGGCTGTCACTTTCTTGAGGTATACATTTAACAAATTGTAATAATGTATGTTGGTATTGTTGCATTTTGATTTGTTTATTTCTCTGGGTAATCTCCATTATTTTGTTTTTGTTTTTGTTTTTGGAGATGGGGTATTGAGTATTATTGACAATGAAACGAGCTCCCTTTTTTTTGTCTCCTTCTCTCATCGGGTTTTACTTGCTCTGCTCCCTACATTCTCTGTTTTTGTCTTGAATTTGGATTTGTCCTTTCCCTTTGCTTCCCATTTCTCCCTTCCTTTCTTCACCCCCCATGTGCTCTTTGTTGAAATGCATTAAAATCACTCCATTCCGCTCCATACCCAGATCGATTCCCGAGCTCGATTTCCAGTTTCTGAACCATATCTGAGATGGGTTTTTGAGGTAAGGGGTGTTTCTCCAGTCAAGCTCCAGTCTCTAGAATGAGTTCCGCGTTTGAATGTCCTTTTCTTTTGCAGGACTCGGAATTGCGCTCCAACTGTTCGACAAAATTCCGGAGAGAGTGAGTGAGAAGTGGGGGGGGAAAATGAGAGATTTCCCCTCTTGTTTCGGCGAGAATGGAGTTCAGGTAGCTGATTCTTCTTCTTCTGCCTCGTCTTCAACCGCCAATAAAACTGCTCAGAATCTAGTCACTTGCTTGTACCAATGTCGAATCCGTGGCCGTTCCTGCTTGATCACTGTATCCTGGACCAAAACCTTGATGGGTCAAGGACTAACCCTCGGAATCGACGATTCTTCTAAGCAGTGTCTTTGCAAAGTCGAGATTAAACCCTGGTTATTCTCCAAGAAGAAGGGGTCGAGGAGTCTAGAAGCTTACTCCTGCAAAATCGATATCTATTGGGATCTCTCTTCAGCGAAATTCGGATCTGGTAACCCTGAACCACAGCTAGGGTTCTACGTCGCAGTTGTAGTAGACAAGCAAATGGTTCTCCTTCTCGGGGACATGACTAAAGAAGCCTTCAAGAAAACCAACGCCAGTGCCATTTTGCCTCTTACTTCCTCTGCTGTATTTGTAGCCAAGAGGGAACATCTCTTTGGTAAGAAAGTGTTCACCACCAAGGCTCAATTCTGTGACAACGGTCAGGTCCACGATCTCGTCCTCGAATGTGACACAGTTGGGGTCAGCGATCCGTGCCTCATGGTTCGAGTGGACTGCAAGACGGTGTTGCAGGTGAAGCAGCTGAAGTGGAAGTTCCGTGGCAACCACACAATATTGGTCGATGGTTTAGCAGTTGAGGTTCTGTGGGATGTTCATAATTGGCTGTTTGGAGGTGGTGGTTCACTAGGGAATGCTGTGTTTATGTTCAGGACGTGCCTCGAGAAACTGTGGGGCGGAGGAAGCCAGCAGCAGCACGATGATGATCCGAGTTCATTGACTTGGTCGTCATTCTCACAGAGATTTGTGGACTACAAGTCACATCAAAATCCTGATTTTAAGCTGGTTTTGTATGCTTGGAAGAGTGAATAGTTTGAGAGTCTCTATCAGTGAGTTGGTCATTTTGGAGTCATTATGTAATTGATTTACACTTAGTTTTTTGCGATTGATCAAACACGGTCCATTTTTCGTTTCCTGGGTAACTTGAGCAGTCGAATGGATCAAATACAAAAATTTTTGTTCTATATTTTACTTGCTGTACGTTTCTTGTTTCATCTGAGGAAAACACTTTGAAGTGTTCAAGATCACAAGCCTCCATGGTGAATTATTGTGCAGTTAACTATTGCAGCTGTACTTAAATGGGATCTCACCTAGTGGAACAGCTCCATTTGTTCTTCGCTTTAGTGCAGTGTTTTACTATTGCAGGTTTCTATTTCAGCATGAATGAGAGACAGAGTTTCGGACTTGTTTATGGTAGTTGTACATAGAAGGATAACTGTCTGCAAAACGTGGTATGGAAATTCTACCTAATCCTTTTGTTTGATTCTGTCCGTGGACTTAAAAATACAAGGTTCCATGATCATAAACACTGAGTTGATGTCTTAATCCCTGCTGTCATGGGTTGCCCGCTTGCCATTTTTGCCTCTTCGGTATATATCAGCAAAACAAAGACGTTAAAGACGGGGAAATCTAATCATTTTGCAAGTGCTGCATTTTTATCTGGCAGGAATTGGAAGGATGACTATAGGCCAAAGGTTTCAAGACCAAGTATTTCCCCTCCCTGTTTGGCTCTTTGCCTTTCCGTTTGACTGCAGCTTTTTCACTGTTTGCGGCATATGGAACCACTGTGGAAACCAACCCAGTAGCTACAGAATCCTGAAGCTCTGTAGCATTGTTTCTTGCTCTTTGGTTTTCTTTGACTGGAGTCTTGTCTCATGTTCCCGGTTATGCATTTTTATTAGTTTTTCCAACTTCCCAAGTAACTTGGTCTTTTTTTCACCACTGGTTTTACTTGCTTCTCTTTCTCTTTGCTGTTTCTTTCTGCCATATTCTACTGTGTGTCTCGTGGGATGTCTCTTCATGGGGAAATGGAGAGAATCTGGGTTCCTTCTGCTAGTTGTGCAGTTAGCTGGGCACAATGAGCCCAAATCAGCTACTATGCAAAATGGGTGTAGGGTGGACACATTGGATCAACATGTCCTTGTGATCTCAGCGGGAGATGCACATCGTTGGATGTGCCCCGTCCCAAGAACTCCGACCATACCCGATTTACAAAAAAATGGCCTCTCGGTCGAGCAAGTTTGTACAGTTTAACTTCTGTACAAGGGATGACACGCATAAATCGAGCAAGTGCGTACTTCCATTTTGTACATCTTGACAACATCGAGGCAACTTCATATATGCTAATTGTGCCTCAGTTCAGTGTGTATGGTAAGACATGGAGTTTAACGTTGATCGATGCGATTCGGCCGGTTGTTTTGGGAGGGAATTTTGCCTAACTTCCACGTAATCTCTACTTAACTAAGTACCTCTTGGGAGTGAGTGTCCTGGAAAATGATTAGGTCAGACACTTTACTTGATAGGCCTAAACTAATGGAAACGTCCACGCCACGTAAACCAAACTCTAATGGAAATTGGAGTTGTTGATTCGTCCCCGCAGTTTCCCCTTTTCCACCGAGGACTTAAATTAAAATTTGATTTGCATATGATAAAGTGTAGATTGTTAGCATATCAGTAGTAAGTTTGTACTAAGAAAGTCTGCTCCTCGTGTTCATAAGAGGTTGTATGTATGTTTTCACCGTACTTTGATGAAATAAAAGGTCGAATATTTATTAAAAATAATACCTTGAATAACTAATGATTACATGAATTGGTCGTTACTACTAACCATGAATTTAAAATCTTAAATACTAGACCAAAGTTGTTCGTTATTATAAAATTGGGATACTTTTCGTCATCATTAAAAGTTGGAGCCAAAATTGTCCATTTATTTAAAGTTGAGATCATATTAGGATATTAACCCGACTAAATCAACTATTATCACTATGCGGTTTACAATTTCACTAGTACTACTATCTCATCACGACCGCATATTGTGCATACGAGTGCTAATCGGTTTGGTTTCGATTAACCACTAAGCAAAACCGATTAGTTCGTGATACACTTCATGATTCCAGGGGCCGTCCATTCTCCCTATCAAAATAAGCTCCTCTTCCATAATCATCGTCTGTACTTTTCTGCCTCAATAGCAGCACATTAGAAGAAGACTAGGCAAGGCAGGCAGCAGGCATTGTGGGGAGGGTAACTACTAAATAGATGTATAACCATAAAACAACCAAAATATGTTCATCAATAAGCAATTTGTATCTGAAATGGAAGCCAGCACTCTCTAGGTTTTGACCAAAGTACTAAGCCAAGCTGTAATTTTTCACTCTGATAAACTGGAATTTAAGAAGAACATGAATGCCTCCCTCCTCTCGCACGTTGTTGAATCACATTGATTCAAACCAGTGTGATTCATAAGAATATGTGCTCCTGGAAACTTCTCAGTAACAAACAAGCAAAGCTGTACATTACATAGCTTACTTACACATTTATCATCAGTACATTTAACCAAATAGAAATATGAATATACAAAGTGCCTAAATGAACAGCCCAGTTCACATTATGTGAAATCAGCACATATCAAGATTCCTGAAATAGGTAGTAGAATATACTTTGTTTTGAACAATACTCAACATATATATAGATGTCGGCCATCATAGAGATATCACTCTCCAAGTTCCAGACTGGCTGGCAGAAGGGACGAGTCAGAATATGCTTTCTGGCGGGTAGGTCAACATTAGATCAACCAATTCTGGGTTTATCTGCAAAGTCATAAAAGATCAAGGCATTTATCAGTTTCAACTTCGATTGACTGGGTACAAAGTAGAACAACCATATGTCAGTTCTTACCTCTGGAAATGCAGAATGGAAGCAGTCACCCCACTCAGTTGCAGTAAGGAAGGGGTTCTCAGAAAGCTTCTGGTTCTCTACTTCAGGACTTGGTGCTCCTGAACTGTAAAGTTCCCTTTCCAAAGGAGTTGGTTGTTCTGCTTGCGGGGTCTCCCACGGGCTGATTCCACTAACAGAATCCATCAAATGACCCAGTTTATCATTCTCGAAAACTGAATGACTTTCCAAACTAGATGGTGTCAGCAAAGTCGAGCATCCGTCGTCTTTAAGTGGTGATACATGACTGCCTGAATCAGAAGCCATTAGGCAATTTGCCTCACCATGTTCACAACCAACTTGATAACTTGTCTGTAGAGGTGTGATGGGGATTAAGAAATCAGAAGCCCGCATACAATTGGCTTCACTGTACTCGCACGAACCTTGCTCAACAGTATCATCACCATCACCTTTTTCCAAAGGTGACATTTGATTTCCAAAATCAGAAACCACCGGGTGGCTTGCCTCACTACTATCACAAGTAGTCTGTTGTTGGTTCGAACACCCATTACCTCCCAATAAAGGTGGTCTTTGATTTTCACAGTCAAAAGCATTAGGCCCCCGGTAACTAGGGCTCATTTTTTCAACATCAGAAATAGGGTGACATTGATCAAGACTAGAATCCATAGTGACAATGTCTAGTTTGTCATTATCTTTATTGATTCTTTTATCTCTCTTCCTCTTCAATTTGCAAAGGGTGAAATTTTCCTGCAAATGATACATAATTACCAACCTTGACTAATGCAATTAAGTGCTAGATGTACATTTGTAAAATGTCTTGTCATGTCAAATCGTATAACAAACTGAGGAATCAAATGACAAACCAGATTAACAGATCAAACTTCTATTATCAGGTTTTGATAACAAATAAATGATGCAAAGAAGTTGGAGCATGAACCATAATTCAAGCGGAAGTAACAAAACAGACATACACCATCTCAAGGTTAATTAGCAAAACAATAACACACCATCAGCTGCATTTCATGCATGTATATAACCACAATAGTGATGCATCATTTGGAGCATGAACCGTAGTTCAAATGGAAGTAACAAAACAGCTATACACCATCTCAAGTTTAATTAGAAAAACAACAATACACCATCAGCTGCATTTCATGGATTTATATGACCACAAAAATGATAAGTTCAGCATCAACCATGGATATTAAGATATGAGCTGTGAAACTGCCAAAGAAATGTCAATTTACCTTATGTGGTGAGTTTGGATCCGCTATGTACTCGTATTCGTGCATTACATACTCTGTGATGATTCCTCTCGGATAACCTTTCCCCTTTTTATAGAAAACCAAAGTCTTCTTAATACCAATCTTTTTCTTGGTTCTCTTAATCTTTACATCACGGATCTTGCCTGTAGGTTTCCAATGACCACTTTTTGTGGTTCTATTGGATCTTTTGCTGTTGACATATTTGTAATCACGCGGACAATAACAATAAAAAATCCACTCGTCAAGCTTATTGTCCACCAAACCTGCAATCAAGGGTTTATACATTTATTATGTTCATTCGGTTTGAAAGAAATCACTCACTAATGCAAAGTGGAGATCATGCCCTACCGAGTAAATCCCAAGGATCAAAAGAATAGACTTTGATCTCAGATATGGAAACACGACCAGTACTCAGGTTGAGTAACTTGCGACGTAAATAGTGATTCACGAGTTCATCATCGCGAGGATGAAATCTGTATCCCACCACGTCCACGGCCACAGCCGACTCTGCGGTGTCCTCCGTTGCTAACAAAATGGAAAAACAGAATCTGGAATTCAACATATGAAAACCAAAAGGAGGGAAAAAAAAATTCGTACAAGGAAACCGGGCTTGAAGAACTGATCACCTGATGTGAAAGTACGATTCATTCCACTTCCTAAAACAGGAAAATCGTTGGTCGGGAGAGACTGGAGCGCTTGCGATCGCTTAATGAATCAGAAGTGGAACCGGAGAGAGAAGAAATGAACTGCGACGTCGATGATTTCTTCGGGCTTTTGGCGATCAGCTGTGCGTCAGCGTCTTTTATTGCGAGGACCACACTACTTCGCCGGGAAGTAGTCTGAAATTAGTTGGGGAAAAGAAAAAGAAAAAGTGAAAAAACGCAGAATTGAAATGTTTTTTTTTTTTTTTAGGGAACGCAGAATTGAATTGGACTAAAACAAAGGAGGCTGGGCCGCTGCGGAAGAAAATAGAGTTAAGCCCGGAGAATTGGGCCAGTACAATGGTTTTTTTCAGACGGCAGACGGGAGTGAAACCAGGCTGCATGGCCCACACAATATGTAATTGAAACACAGAAGAGTGTTGGGCTTTAAGGTCTCTATTTTTCATTTTGTATCCTTTGAACTATGATCCATGAAACCGTACATGACACCATACGGAAAAAGTCAGCGGTAGATTATTTTATGACGAAATCATGATTTAACCGTAGTTCAATCGTTAGCACCGTTAAATACCGCTTACCGATTTAGCCTCCAATATTGGTATTTTGCGGTTGAACCGTGGATACGATACGATTTCATGGACCATGCTTTGAACAAAGACTCAATGATCCATTCATAAAATAAAAGTTCAGATTTGATTGTAAAAAAAAAAAGGAGCTCGTGGACCTCAGATGCCTGGCCTCATTTCAATTTTCAGGCGACTAGACTCGCTCTCTCACCAACTCTGAGCCCACTTCAATCGCACTTCTCCTTCACCAGATCCGTCGTTATCGATTGACTACACCCATCCTAACTCTTAGATTTATACACATCAATATAACGGTTAAAAATTGGGAAGAGGTTTTTAATTAAAGATAGGAGTAATTTGGGTATTATGAAAAATTACGAACTATACAAACCGGGCTTACAAACCATACAAACAATACATACAAATTAGAATGGCAAATCATACAAACAGATTCACAAACAATACAAAACATATGAACTATACAAACAATACAAACTATACCCACAAAAAATACAAAATGAAAAAACAACTAGGTTGACTTTGGAGGCTTCGTCTCTATATAGAGGAGATCGCCACAATGTCAAGCAGGTTATTTTTGTAGACATATAAACATTACAAACATGAGGGACAAAATGACAAACTAGGCTAACAAACAATACAAAATGGAAAAACAACCAGGTTGACTTTGGAGGCTTCATCCTTATATAGAGGAGTTCTGTCCCAAAGTCAACCCGGTTATTTTTTAGACATACAAACATGGTGGACAAAATGACAAAGATGGTGGACAAAAATGACAAACCATATAAACCAATACAGTCAAAATCGCGCTTTAAAACTTAAAATCTTACGCTTTTACCTTTTTAGGTCACCAAAACGCTTCTACGTAGAATCGTGGTTTTTTCTTACAAATTTAGTCAAAATCTACGCATTAAAACTTAAAAACTTACGATTGTACACTTCTAGGTCACCCAACCGTTTCTAGGTTGAATCGCGCTTTTGACTGCATTGATATAAACAATACAAACTAGAACCATACAAACTATACAAATTAGATTTACAAACCATACAAAAAGGATTTACAAGCAATACAAACCATACAAAATGAAAAAAACAACCAGGTTGACTTTGGAGTATCCGTCCCTATATAGAGAAGTTTTATTCCAAAGTCAACTAGGTTGGTTTTTAAATAGTACAAACATGGTAGATAAAAGTGACAAACTTACAAACATACAAAACAATCGAAAAACATTGCAAACCATACTAACCGTACAAACTATACTCAAAATTAATTTGGTGAAATGGGTGGTGAGCGTCTTGCAATAATTTTTTGAATTCTTGTGCTTTTACTATCTCCGGGACTTCGAAATTAGTGGAATTAGTATAACATGAGAATCTGATTTTGCTTGTATTGAAGAGAAGGAAGTGAAGAAGGAGATTGGTTTAGGGCTCTCTTTTAAGATGAAAATTTAGGAGAGTGGCAATCAAAGGTTTGTGCAAGTGAGTTTTCGTCTATTGAACTATGTCTGGATGAACTATGGTCTTCAATTCACAGTTCAATTGAGAAGCACAAGATTAGTTACTAGCCCTAGTTTTTGTTGGTCGACTTCAAACACGAAGAGGTCTTCAAGCATTTCATCTCCCCGCTATGTCATCCATCGTGCTTGAGATCATAACTGCTTACATCAGCGCTCCTGGCGCAAGTCTCTTTCGTCGTCAATGAATTTAGTAAGGAAAGGAAGGGTAGAGCCTCATGGTCAATTGAATAGACCATCACCAAGCTTTACACAAGATTCAAATCAAATGGCTTATTTAATAAAGCGGGAAGTCGTGAACCAAGTCCTTGAAAATCAACAAAATCTAACAGGCAAAGCCAATTGAAATTCATTTTCAATTCCAATGACTACTTCCGCTTTCTAGAAGAAGATCAGTCTGACATCGTATCCAGTGGTTTTCTCCACTTCACTCGATGCTGCCATTTCCACCTCAAGAGACAGATAGTTCATTTAAGGAGAACACAGTCTTTTCCCATTTCGTATTCTTTGTTCATTTCTTTATGCACAAGTTGTACTTGTTTCCTCACCAAGCTACCAAACAAAACACTTAGGAGTTTATTGTCTTGTTGTTTTGATATGCCTATAAAAGGCAGAAGATGAATTGAAAAGCCTCAAGAGATTATAATTTCACACAATATATGTGTTGTTATGGTATCATATCCTGGTTGGAAAACCTAAGCGCCACACACCATGGCAGAAAATCAAGCTGAAAATGCGTAGCCACAAGGAGGTAAATACATATGGTTCTGTTAGACAGTCGTGTTCGGATGCGGCTGGTGGTGTTATCAAGAACGACTTGGAAAAATGTGTTGGAGCTTTTGCTGCCAACTTGGGGAAGTGCACCATTACTAGAACAAAAATTAAAGGGGCAATCATTGACATACAACTTGCTTGGGTGAAAGCTTATAAGCACGTGGCCCTGAACCTTGACTCAATGACTGCCCATCGGTTGCTGATGTCCACAGAGCCAGGAAAAACAAGATACTTTAACCTCATTCACCAGTTTAAGAAGCTGATGAAGAGGAGATGGGAGGTCTGTATTTCCCACACTTATAGGGAATGCAACAAGATAGTTGACTACCTTGCTAATAAAGCTCACTCCCTTAGCATATGAACGCATGAGCTTGATGTTTCTGAACCAGATCTAAATTACTGGTTATTGTATGATATTACGGGCATTGCCCAAGATCGTTTAATCTAAGTGCCAGCCAGGAGTGCCCTTTTAGCGCCCCATTTTCTACCCAAAGAAAAATAAACCCCAACTGCCTAGGTAAGAAACATGTACCCGACTCCTTCGATTCGTCCATATCCTCCATATTTTCATTGTATTCCCCATTGTCGGCATTCTATGTTAAAAACAACGATGGTCAGTAAATTGATTATGATCAACAAAAGAGAAACACACATGCATCATCTTGCTCACTAGATCATCTAAAGAAGGCTCGTCTGCAATTGGAGGCGACAGATTGAGATCAACTCCGATGACACTCATTATCTTGCACACAGAGGTAGAAGACGATCGAGCTTTCCGGTGAAAGGATACGAGCTCTCCTTATCTATCCCCTTATTTCTCTCATTGTCTCTCTTTGAAGAAAACCCAAAAGTTAGGGTTCATCCGACATTAGAGAGTACTGGGATTTTAACCCCATAATAATTCAGAGGGTGCACATGATTTGGGCAAGGCTCGAAAAGTTTAATTCGAACGGGGACACTGAATTTTGGAAACATGGGAGCCAAATTATTTGGTCGGAAGCGATGGGCGGACAACTCGATTTTGGAAAGGAGGAATTTCAGTTTTCGGGGAGGGGAGAATTTGGAAGGGCAGAGAGGAGAGGCCAAGGTGTTCTCTCGACTCGGCTCGATGGAGAGACCAAAGTCGGGCAATGGCCGCTCGAGCAGAAGAGAGTGTCGTTTTTTTACGGAAACAGAGAGCTCTGACGAATTGTTGCCCCCACAATCCACTACCAAAGCTATCCTTACATCTTACCCTGTTGAATGCGCGTGACCTTCATCCTGGTCGTGGGAGGAGGTTATCCGTTTCCGGCGTAGTCCTTTGTGGTGGGGTTTGGTGCGATGCATAGTGGCATGTGGTGATGTGAATTGTGAAATGCAACCAACCATTTATCTAGTGTAGATAGCTGCCCCATATACGGACAGAGCCCGAAATCTACTCTACACGTGCTTCGGGACTGCCCATATGCGGGGCAGTGTGGACGGGCTTCTTCGAAGGGGAGAATGATGAAATGTTCTTTCAGGAGAACATGGATAGGTGGCTGTTACACTACCTGACAGGGAGAGGCCAGAAAGTGGATGCCACACTATTTGCAGTAGTTTGCTGGTCACTTTGAAAAAAATAGAAATACATGAGTCTTTGATAAGGTCCTTGGGTCAGATGCAGAAGTTCAAAAACGTGCAAATTGGTGGTACCATCAGATCCAGCTAGCATGGGCAAAGGAGAATGATATAGCTACGGACGAAAGGACGAGAAGAAGGGAGCTGATAGCCTGGCCACCGCCGCCGCGAGACTGGCTCTGTTTAAACTGTGATGGGTTGGTGATGTATGCTCAGGGAAGCGCTGCAGCAGAAGGGGTACTACGTAGAGAGGATGGGCGGTTCGTCCGAGCATTCACATCCAACTTGAGGGAAGGTTCCATCACGAGGGCGGAACTAATGGGGATCGCAATTGGATTGAAGATATCTTGGGAAGAGGGCGCAAGGCAAGTAGAAGTGCAGACTGACACGAGAATTGCTATGGAGCTGATTCGGGAGTCCACCGGGATGCATCTGCACTACATTTTGATCTCCTAGATTCAGCACCTGTTGAGTAGAGATTGGCAGGTGGTGCTCAAGCATGTGTTCAGGGAGGGAAATGTGGTAGCAGATTATCTAGCCTCGCTAGGGCACTCCCATAGCATGGGTGAGCATGCGATTACGGTGTCCTTCCCGACTTTAAATCACCTGTTGCTCTATGATGTAATGGGTATCCACACCCCTCGTTTTGTTTTGAATTAATCGGTTGGAGCGCCGTCTCGCTCCGTCCTATTACCAAAAAAAAAGTTTTAGTGAGGTCGGTTCAGCGGCTCCAGCTCAAGGAGTAATTGGGCCTTTACAGGTAGGGCTGTTAACCGGTCTCCGGTTTTTCGGTTACCACCGAAACCGAACCGTAACCGTCGGTTTATTGACCAACCGAAAACCGTCGGTTTCTTACGGTTTGCGGTTGCGGTTGGCTGTCACCGGCCGTGGGGCGAGTCTGGCGGTTAGTGGTTAAAAACCGAAACCGTAACCAATAACCGCAAAAACCGACCACACCAACCCCCAACGTCGTCGTTTGGCTTTGGCCTCTCCAGTCTCCCCAATCCCCTCCTCCCCTGACCTAAATCGAAATCGCATTTTTAGGTTTTGTTCCGCCTCTCCCCAGCCAGAAGCCCAGAACCTCTGACCCGCCGCTCCTCTCCTCCCCATTTCTGACCTAATCGCCGCCAGTCGCCTCGTCCGGTCGTCCCCTCGCCGCCAGTCGCCTCGTCCGGTCGTCCCCGTCGAGCTCGTCGGCCGTCAGCCGTCGCAGCGCCGTCCACTCCTCTCGCTCCCAGCCTTCGTCTCATCGCCGCCGTCCCGCTCCCAGCCTTCGAGTCGCCGCTGTCCTCCAACAGAAGTCGTCGTCGCCGCCGTCTTCTGCCTCAAACGGTTTCGGCTAACCGTCCTCTTAAACCGAAACCGCCGGTTACGGTTGACGGTTAACCGAGGATTCATTCGGTGTCGGCGTCGGTTGAGGGAAATGGTCTGCTCTCGGTCTCGGCTAACCGACGGTGCGGTTCGGTTAAACCGAAACCGCACCGACTAACAGCCCTATTTACAGGGTTATGGAATTTTTTTTTTTTTTATGGAAAGGTCTTATGGATTCCAGGGGCCAAGATTTAGGCAAGCAAAGAAAAATTCCCGCCTTGCCGCCCATTTCTTTCGCTTTCAATTTTCTCTACACCAATGTTTGTGTGTTCCTTCCTCAGACAGCGAGAAATCAAAAAGACAAGACGAATAAGAGAGAGAACGAAAGAGAAGGCAAACCGCCAGCCCTTGTCTTCGTGCCTTCGACCTCCGTTAAATTACAGTGCTGCAACTGGGAAAGTTCAAGATTCAGCGAGAAAGAGAAACCCGCACATGCTGAATGAGGAAGGGAACAAACCACTATGATGGACGAGCTTAGCACGCCCGACAACAAGCGCCAACCCGACGCCTCTTCTTCATCTGTTTCCCAACTCGAGGTCCCGTTTTATGATGCTATTTTCTGCTACTTCCAAGTTCTCTGAGTTCAATTTGTGGTTCTTGCAATGTTTTTCATTATGGGTCTACCATACCGTTTCTTTTTTTGGGGGGTTGAGGGTTTTGGGGTTTTCTAGTATTCTTGTCTTCCAACGTTGTTGGTCAGCTAATTTTCTGGTCAATTGAGGCTTGTGTGAATTCGTTGTTGCGTTTGTCCTGTCGTGTTCAAACGCTTTAATTGAAGCGATGAACTTGCTCACAACTTTTACTAATTTTTGTGACCCGATTGCCAGACTTCGCCCTTCTTCAATTACATCAACAACTTGTCTCCCTTAGAACTCGTCAAGTTCAGGAACAAGACCGGTGTTGGTCTTCAACCATTCGATTCGCAGAGTTTCAGAACCCCTTCGCCCATTTCCACTTGGGAACAGCTCAAGTTTGTTAACTCTTCAGCCAGGTAAAACCCTCTAGTGCTGGTGAATGAAAGGAGGTCAAATTGAAAATTTCTCCTGTTAAGTGAGTAAGTTTCTGTTTGGGTTTTAGGTGTCAAGGCTCCGTAGTAGCACGATCAAGTTCTAAACTTAGAGAATTGCCAGAATTTGATATAACCCCCCAAGAATTAGAATGCTCAGCTTCCAAGAATGAAGTAGTAAAGGCTGATGTGGCAGCTCAGGAACCTCCGGAGGCAAAACTCGAAAGCATTTCGGCCGAAAGACTTTCATACGATAGCAAAAGGAATCTAAGAAGAATCACTCGCTCTCGGGGAAATAAAGATGGAATGGAGCATGATTGGGTTTCAGTAATTTCTGAATTGGCTGATGTGTTGACCTTAGATTCGTTGTCCATCCTGGAGAAAGAAGAAGACCCCGAGCTGAAAGAACAGCAGAAGGTGATGTTGAATCCTATGGAAGAAAGCAATTTTGTATCGGATGTATTGCAGAGTCCTCAGGAATTTGATCAAATGGGAGAAAACCAGAAAGAGGGTAATGTTCATGGAGCTCGGTCTAAAGAGCTGGTTGTATGTGATGCATCTGTAAAGACAGGTCTTCAGCAGAAGCAGCACAAAGCAAGAAGGCGATGCCTGATTTTCGAGATGGCAGGTAGCCAGAAAAGGAAATCTCAAGTTGACGGCACAATGGCTAGCAGTAGTTCATTAGATGAAAAGAAAGAGGATACTTGCTTATCAAGGAAGGGAAATGTGTTGCACTTGCGTTCTTTTGTCACAAGTTCTGAAGTGGTCAAGGCTCAGTGTTTAAGCAACCAAAAGAACACTAGTAAACTCTTTTAACTTCCACCCTCCCACTAAATAGAGTTCTGGTTATAATCTGATGATTCCCTTCTTATTCCTCTCATTTGTATGCATAACAGATTTGGTCGAGAGTAAGCAAAATGTACCTGAGAGCTCGATAGTGCCTGAATGGGGTGACAGTAGTAGTCCCAAGAGAAAGAGGCATGATATTTTCGCTGCATTTTGACTCTGAATGTTCATATCTTTTTTTTTTTTCGTGTAATGATTCTGAATTTTGATTGGTGGTTGTCACTAATTCAGGCTCAAAGTGGTACACATCAAGAAATGCAACTGCAAGAGATCAAAATGCTTGAAGCTGTAAGTTCCTACATTCATTTCAATCTCCCTCTCTTCCGTTATTATGCTGTGGCACGATTTCAAAGGTTATTACTAACTTTGAGATTTAATATATACAACAAGATACTGTGAATGCTTTGCTGCTGGTCTCTACTGCATGGAGTCTTGTTCATGTCAAGGTTGTTCCAACAATCCTGCGAATGAAACCGCTGTTCTAGCTACTCGTCACCTCATCTTTTCCCGAAATCCCCTTGCTTTTGAACCTAAAGTGATGACCAGGCTTGGGGTAAGATTTTGATCCTAGCTAGAAGATTCGATAATTTTGAATACTATCCTGGAGCCTTGCATATTTCTGATCGGTGTCTTGCTCCGTCATTGCAGGGGGAAATGAATGCAGCTACCCCAGCTTCAGCTAGGCATAAGAAAGGATGCAACTGCAGAAAGTCACATTGCTTGAAGAAATACTGTGAATGCTTTGAGGTTATTTAATGTCTGTTCGCCTTTCTGTGTATGCGAAGTGTTTTCTGTGCACCACGTTATGATATTGATTTGCTGTATGTTTGTGCTTTTAAAGGGCGGCGTTGGCTGCTCTCCTAGCTGCAGGTGCAGAGAATGCAGGAATTCATTCGGCAGCAGCAATGGTAATCCTCTACTTCATTTGATTTCCCATGTTCATTGTTTTTCAGTGATGAACATGTTTGTATGCCCGCAGTGTTTTGCTTAAGACCGATTGTTCTGTCATGTCGTACGCAGTTCCTTTTCTGCTCGAGTATGGCAGCTGAAGGGAATGACGCTGAGGTTGAAGAACATGTAATGTAGCTCTGGGAAGGATCAGTTTGCGTGCACTCTTGATGGCACATTGTTGGCGAATCTGAAAGCAATGACTTTGTAAGTTTGTATCGAGTTCTCATGTAACCATCTGGGTTTCTTTCTGTGCTAGTTAAGCGAATCCGCCACGTCGATTTGTAAGGCGATGAGCAGCAAAAGAATCAGATGTTTCTAAGATAACCAGTAGAAGATTTTTCTTGTCAGTAGAAGCATAATGAAAGAGCAATGGTGAGTAACGAATCTTTGAAGAAAAAAAAAAAACAAACAAACATCTTTCTTTCATGGAACACCCATAAAACCCAATCGCAAAACCGAGCCCCCCAAACAGAGAAAAATTGTCAAACAAAATAAAAAACACAAACCCAATCTCGAAAAGAATTCATTCTTTCGCCAAGAAATTCTGGCCTGGCCATGGCGTCAATAATCAAGCCGTGAGATTCCCATACTTGGCCTTGTAATCCTTCCAAACATCGGCCACATCCTTCCCAAGCAGCTCTACGAAGAAGCCGCTGCTGTAAGTGTCCTTCATCATGGAATTAATCTCCGCCACAAAGCTGCCATTCCTCAAACCATCGCAGTACTCCAAGAACCTGGCCGTGACGTCGTCCCCTTGGTCCCACTTCTCCCCTTCCCCTGCCTCCGCCCACTCATAACTAGTAGTAGTATGGTTATTCTTGGGCTCGTACCCTGCCTTGACCCTCACGTAATCGCCGATCCCGGACAGCAGCCCCGCCGGCGCCGTGCCGTTCCCGTTCCAACCCCACACGGAAGCCATCTGGCCGTACACAAGCCCGGCGAACTCCCTGCGCAGCTCATCGGCCGACGACGAGCCGTTGGAGGTGAAGTTGGCGAGGTAGTCTGCGTCGATGTAGATTTGGGCGGCCTGGTAGTCGTGGTAGGCGATCCCTTGGATGTCGGAGTCGATGAACAGGCTGATCTGCGGCAGCGATCGCCGGTCGGCAGACGTGTTCTGCTGGAAGGTCTGCCAGGAGAAGTCGGAGGCGGCGGACATGGTGTTGGTGGTGAAGTTGAGGCCGATTTGGGTGTCGAAGACGATCCCACCTTTGGTCCCCGGGGCCATGTTGATGACTGGGTATGTCACTGCTTCCGCATTGGACACTCCTGCTGCTGCTGCTGCTGCGGCTAGTAATGCTATGGTCGGGACCAGGAAGAACAGAGCAGCGGAAGCGGCCATGGTGGATATCAGTCTTGAGTTTCTGGTTTTCGCCCTCTCTTCTATGTTAGTGAGTTGCTTGTGTTTGTGGGAGATGGGATGCAGGGACATTTATATGTGCTTTGTGTTTTTGGGTGGAGCCAAAACAGAGCATTAATTTGTTTATTGTTGGCTGGACATTGTGGTTCTTACCTGTGTCTCTGTGATCCAGAAGGGACAAAACAGTGAGAGAAGTTAAATTGCTGGATATGGCAGTTAGTTTGGGTTTGGGAACTTATAATCTACCATTTGGCAAGCCTGTTTCCTTGTGGTCTCTGGTAACTAGAAGTTAGCCATGCATCTACGTTCACCATGGACACTGCTTCGAAATTGCAGATGAACATCGTTCACCATGGACACTGCTTCGAAATTGCAGATGAACGTACAGCACATGGAACGTAATGTCCATTGCTTCACAACCGGCGAATTCAGACGAAGAACTGAGCACCGGTTGAACTAGGAGCTCAACGCTTTCCACTTGATTGCAACGGTATCATTGCCAGCTTATGTGCTTCTTCTTGCACTAAGAATGAAGTGGAAGAAGACGAGCAGGAACTGCTGTGTCATTGTCCATATCTTTCAGTGATAAAATGCAATTGATGCTGACAGAATCCATGACATTTCAACTTCCAACGAAATATATCGGAGAGACTATTGCAAGGTTTTATCACTAATAATAAGATAAGATTTGACCATCACTGAAACCCAAGTGGCTATGTTTAATGTAAAACTTGAGAAAAGCGCAAGTAGCTGATTGATCTCACATACTATCCCGATAGATAATAAACCTCTACAGTTCAGCACACGTTCCCAAACTAAATCCCATCAAAACTTGGATCCAATACTCTAATGTAAAGACAGCTCAAACGATTTGTCACAATCTGGACTACAGATATCTAGTCTTCTGGGTTGTGATCAAGCTCCAACAACTTCGGTCTCAGCTGCTGCTTCCGCCATCGGCTCATCAGCAGGCCTCTCCACCTTCACACCAACATCCTCGGTCGAGTAATCACCATGGACCTTCAACCAATCAAAATCAAATACACGGGTAGAGCTTTCAGTTGAGTAATCACCATTAACCTAACAAAAGAGCAAAATACAGATGGATTGAATAACAAGGTAGGCCCTGATGCATTTACCTCCATCAGCTTTCCAATGTCAAATTTGGGAGCCTTGAGGATCTTGACCTTTCGGATGAAAACATTCTGGAGAGGATAGATTCCAACAGTGGCCTTCTCAATTTCTTTCCCAATGCTTTCGGGGATGAACTTCTTCACTAGATCCTTCAAATCACAGGACTGTGCTTGGTTGATCATGATCTCCGTCATCTTCCTGCGAATCTGTGACAGTACAAAGAGTGTTATATATGAGCCCATGGGATTGATGAGAAGCAAGACAACCTATAAATCATCATTGTAAAAGTATGTGTACCTGGCGGATCTGACTCGATTGGGCATAGCAAGTCCTCTTCACCTGATTGGGACGCCTCTTTGTGAAGGCAATGCAGAACATCCTCAAGGTGTAGTTATCAGTTGTCTTGACATCGACATGGGCTTCGATCAATGTCTGCCACTTGCGGACAAGGGAGCGGAGCTTGTCTGTTGTGAAGTCCATTCCCTAGAGAGTAGACAATCAGGTTATTTTAGCTTCAGTTTGGTAGGGCTTCATATTTGGAGGAGATATACAAATAAATAACACTACATACCCAGAAATTGGTGAGGACATTCTTTCCTTGCACGTCCTCTGCCCTAAGGCGAATCTTTCGGTAGGCATTATCCTCATCCTTCTGAAGGTCAGCAAGAGAGACTTCGAAAACTCTATGCTTCAGGCCTTCGGAGGCAATCTGTCAACCATTCACAGACTCATCGATCAAGCATCATATGAGAATAGATAACAATGGTGATTTAACTAAGATACTAATTCAACATAGTCCAACCATGCGTTAATAACACAAAGTTCACAACTTTCCCGCAAAGATATTGACATAAAGATATAGAGCATGAATAAAGACCAGTTCAAACTTCCACAATGATCTATAGAGACAAATTATCAGAAAACCAATATCAGTTTAAATGAACTTGCACCGATGCATTTGATCACAATGATCTATAGAGACAAATTATCAGAAAACCGATATAAGTTTAACTAAACTTGCACCAATGCATTTGAACAAAGTCCTAGAAGCAGAAAGATCAATCCCGAACTAAAGAAACTTTCCCTCCATTTATTTCACTATCTGCCCCATAATCAAACAGATTCCCTAACCTAAGAGTCATCATCACAATCAATTGGAAATCATACCTTAGTTCCCTGGGTTCTGCTGACGAGGGTCTTGCCTATGTTCCTGACCTCGAAAATGGATGGTGACTTGATATCGTACCAATCCTTCTTGGCGAAGGGATCGGTTCTGTTCCAACAGCGAATTGAAATTAAGTAAACAAACCAATTACATTCAGAGATCGAAGGACAAGTGAGCCACTCAAGTGACGGAAAATTGAGAAGAATGTTCAATGAAGATTCCAACTTACGCCTTCTTCTTGCCTCCCTTCTTGCCCTTGGAGATCCGCTTGTTCTTCCTGAGGGGGAACACAAAAGGAGAAAGGAGATAAAATGTGAGTGAACAAAGAGCGCTATGGGATTTCAGAAAACTTGCTACGGAAAATACAGGGAAGAAGAAGAGAGAGGTAATCACCCGACGGCCATGGCGTGAGATCGGCGGCTATTAGGGTTCTTCGGCGGCTGCTGCGCTGTTGTCAAGGGAAGAAGTGAGCGCAGTGAACAGCTGAAAGAGAAGAACCTGCTAGCTAGGGTTCACCCTTTTATATACTTCGGAAGCGTGCAACGACACCGTTCTAGTTTGTACCCAATTTAGGGATGGCAATGGGTCGGGTTTGGTCGGGTTTTGCCAAACCCAAACTCAAACCTATGGGTTTATCCGTAAAAAAAATCGGGGTAAACTTCACTGTGTTTGAGTTTTCATAAAAAAAACTCGGGGTAAAATCCACTGGGTTTGAAAAACTCAAACCCAACCCGTTGGGTATTCGTGGGTTCATGAGTACCCACGGGTTTTTGTCGTAAAAAATTTACAACAACAAGTTCCTATCAAAATTAAAGTTAAATATCAATCTCTCAATACAAATTATCCATATATAAAACACCATTCTAGAAAATTCAAGCAAATCACAAATTAACTATAAAAATTGTTCAACACCAATCTAGAAAACTCAAGAAAATTGAAGCAAATCACAAATTATCCATAAATAACATGATTAATTGAAAACTTCTTCCTTTCAATTAAGTTTCTTCACTCTCCACTCGATAACATCAACTTCATTCTACACAATTTGAAAGAAAAAATTAGACATGTCTCCACAAACATAAATAAGATTAGTTGTTTAGAATATTAAATATACTAAGAAAATTAACTATATGGGTGCGGGCGGGTACCCATGGGTCGGGTTTACCTAAACCCAAATCCAACCCAACCCCGTGAATAGTGAACGGGTTTAAACCCAAAGTCGACCCAAAACCCGTCAACATGGATTTTACCCGCGTTGACCGGGTTGGATCAAGTGGGTACCCGTGGGTTCGGGTTTTGTTGCCATCCCTAGTACCCATGTCAAGTTGAACTAAATACCGACTTTTTTGCAAGGTTTTTTTTTCAAAATACAAGTTTGAACTTTGTGATAATAGCCTTTTGAAAAAAAAACATTTAAATAGTGGGTAAATTACAAGTTTGTTTACTAGAATTACTAAACAGTTTTACGTTTGTCACTAAAATTAGTTTATTTCATTCATGGTCACTAAAATTAGTTCAAAATTCAAGTTTGGTCACTCTCCGTTAACCTTCGTTAACTTTTATTAATATGACAGTCAAGTCTGACAGTTGACAATTATATATGTGACGGGTCAAGTAAAAAATTATAAAAAATAAAATTTAATCTTCTTATAATTTCCACCTCATAATTATCATAACTGCACTTTTTTTTAATTTGCTGCTTTCTAAATTCTAGCCTTTCTAAACTTCTTTTGCTTGAGAGCTGCAATGGTTTGGTGCTTAACCCGAGACATTGTCTCTGTTTGATTAAGTGGTGATTCGCAAATGGTGATCCGACGAGTAACGGAGAATGTTATAGAGCATGATCGGGGTGGAGCAATCCTTGAAGAGGTTTGGCTGCTGAAGGCTTCATTCACGTTTATTCGATTTGTTTTCTCTCCTCGTAGAACTAACAGGGCTGCCCATTGCGTGGCGAAAACGGCTCTTGCATCGGTTAATCAGCGTTTGGCTGATTTCCGCGATTTATTTTTCACTTCTTTGTAATTCCCTATCTATTAAATATCTACCTTAGTAAAAAAAAAAAAAAAAAAGAGCCGCCTAAAGGCTAAAAGGATCTTTGACTCCGACCGGCCGGTCACCCTTTTCCTTTCTTCCGGGTCCAAGAAAAGTACCAACGTGATGGGATTAGGTGCTAACCCTTATAGGGGTTAGCACCGTGATAACTAGTAAAAATCACTACGGATTATTATAAAATCAATACAACATCTAAGCTAAATCACTACTAATTCAAACTAGTAGTAGTTTTTCCCTTGGTTATGACGGTGCTAACTATTGTACAATTAGTACCGTAGCCGTTCCCAGTACCAACATCTCTATCATGGTGGTGATGGTGTTGTCTCGGAAAATCATCCATCTCCAGCTCTTGAAGCTGTTCCGGCTCCTTTTAATCCCACTGTCATTTATTGTCATCCGAAATGACTCGCCATTTCCATCTCCTCCCGCCATCCCATACTCTGTTGTGAAACCCGCGGAGCATAAGGATGCCGTCGTGTGTTAGATCCCCTGAGCATGACCGACGCCCACGACGACGCTGGATCTAACCGGAACCTGCCTCGACCGTCTAAATCCGTAGCCGTTTTCCCCAGAATCGACAACAGTAACTCTCTTTCCTTGAAATATAACTTTTATTATGTTTTATTTTTTTAAATTTATTATGATAATGAGGTGGAAATTATAAAAATATTAAATTTATTTTTTTATAATTTTTAAATTGACACATCATTCATTTAACGGTCAACCATTAGAGATGACTGTCACATCAACGAAAGTTAACGGAGGTTAACGGAGAGTGAACAAACTCGAATTGTTGAATTAATTTTAGTGACTATGATTAGAATAAACTAATTTTAGTGGCAAACATGAAACTTTTTAGTTATTTCAGTGACTAATCTTGCAATTTACCCTTTAAATAGTCATTTCGCTGATAACTTTAATGAAAATACTAAGGATGCTGACTAAACTAGCGTTTTTTGTGACCTGACATTTTTGGTCAAAAATAATACCAGGTGAAAATAGTTATTTTCTTATTATAATTAAATAGAAAACAAACAAACAAACAAATATATATGTCTTCTCCAAAACCCTTCCCTCCCCCTGTATTTTTCTTTCTCGTTTCATCCTTTTCACCGTCGTCGGCGGAGCTCGAGTTCTACCCCGACACAATTGCAAAACTCGATCATTTACACTCCCCGCCTCGCAATTCTGATGACTTCTATAGTATGATCTGTGCAAGTGAAGTTGTACAAATAGAGCCATGAGAAGAAATCAAAACTCCACCAGATGGTTGTCATCGGCGGTCGCTCCGAAGCATAAGGATGTCGTCGCAAGGCGCGGACAACGTCTCCAACAAGCTTCCTTGAAAAATTCTAAAGCCTTGGCCTCCTTCGCTGGGCACCGAGGGAGATGAGCAAGAACAAGATCTGCCCATGACGGAACCAGCTCTGAAGAACCCTAATATTTTCACCATCAAAAGCTTCATTGAAACTCTCCTACTTCTTAAGTCTACTGGGCGAGAACTCAACTGAAAAAATTCTTTTGCTAAGCTTTGTTTTTACTGCCGATGTCATTGGGTTCGAGTCTCTGTTTCAGTAAGCACAAGCAGCTGCGTCGTCGAAGCACAAACAGCAGCGGCAAACAACTAGATCAACTCCAGAAAATACTCCGGCTTCTTCTCTAAATGAACTCATGCGTAGGATGAGGGCAAGAGGTTTGGCGACAGATCTCTCGATCCTCTTTTTCTTGTCCGATCATCGTCTTCTTCTAGAAATTCTTACCGACCATATGAAAGAATTTGTTGTAGCGACAATAGTTGGAGATCAAAAGAATGATGAGATTGGGAGAAATGAAAAATTAGGGTTTATTTGGCGAAGGGGTTTTTTTTCCGGCAGCAGTAGGGGTGAGTTATTTATGAACTTCTTTTATTAAAATAAGTTAATGAATTTTTCAATTAAAATATGACGTGGCATCCATGTGGCATAATGTATCTTGTTGGAGCTGACGTGTGAGCTGAGGTGGCATCCATCTAAGGGTAACGTTGACGTTATTAACATAGTCACTAACGAAGTTAAAGTTTATAACGAAAATGGCTAAATTTATCAAATTAGTTTTCAAAATGTGGCTATATCTGTATACTTTTCAAAAATTGGCTATATTTGTCAAAAACGTTAAAATTATGGCGACACAGCCATGGGAGGGATTGGATGCATCAGGACCACCCAAGTGCTAGGGGAGTACGACCATGCTCTGCGTGCTACAACTCACCACTGGGAGTACGACCACACTTTTGTGTGCTACAACTCAACTAGCCACTAGGCTTAGATTACACCTCTTGCTCGGGAATGCTACTGAAGCTGCCCGCAGCTACCGTGGATTGAACTTGGGTTCATTCCCAAGCACTTCACACGGACAACCTACGTTTCCACTTGGATTGCAGCTTGTTCGCACATGAACAAAATTATGTATCATTGATTGATAATTGCACAATTTCAATGACTAAACACTAGTTTCACCATAATACGTTTAAAATTAGGGGGAAACAATGACTTGGGTTTTGAGGTATAGGCTAAAAGGAAGAGCAATATGAGTGATACCTGAAACTCATATGGGATTTTAGTTGTGGAGGAAATTATTGCAACTAAGGTTTTGGTATTAATTTAGATTACTGAGCGGTGGAGAACGATTGGTTAGTTGGGAAGGGAAGTCATTGAATAAGTTTTCTATTAAAACTGTCTGAAAATCAATTAGACATAAAGGGATGAAGGTTGATTGGAGCAAAATGATTTTGGGGAAAATATGTAGTTCCTAAGCACATATTTGTTGCTTGGGTGGTGATTAGAAATAGGATTATCACTAGAGTGAAGTTGAAAGAGTGATGAATAATTGATGTGGATGTATGTCCTCTATGTAGTGCTTTTGAAACCATAGAGCATTTATTAGTAGTGGCTGCTTGTTCTCAATAAAGGTGACGAGATTATTATTCCTAGGGGTTGTTTGGTTTGTATGTTGGGATAAAATGACGATGCAAGTTTGCAAACTCTACATGAGTGGAACTATGGATGGAAGGCTGATTGGAGGGATGTGGTGTTGGTATGTTTATAACATTTGGAGGGAACAATGAAACAAGATCTTTAAGTCTGCTAATAGAAGTGAAGAAATTGTTTTCAAGAATATGATGGATGAAGGGGTAGGTTAGCATGCTAACCCCCCTTATGGTTGGAAAAATGACACCCCCTAGTATATTAAATACAACTATAGAATTTAATACACACATTAAATACACATTAGGAATTAAATGTACCATATTAATTAGGAATTCTCTCACTATTAAATACACATTAGGAATTAAATACACACATTAAATACACATTAGGAATTCTCTCACTATATTTGATTTTTCCTTTTTCAGCAGTCTCCGACCACCAGACTTCCTCCGACCGCCACACTTCTCCGGTGAAAATCTCATCGGCAGACTCCCTCCGACCACCTCCAAAAAATATACCACTGCACTGATACGGTGTACCACTGTACTGGTAGATATACCACTGCACTGATACGTTGTACCACTGTACTGGTAGATATACCACTGCACTGGTAGCGATATCAGTGCACTGGTAGCAATGCCATATCTGAGTATCAGTGCAGTGGTACAAATACCAGTAAAGTGGTAATTAATGTGGTATATTTAATGCTTACTTTGTATTTAATAACAGAACATTTATTATGTTTACTTTCATTAATACTTGTCAATAATTAATGAAAAATTGACCAATTAAAAGGGGGGTGTCAAAAAACCAACCCCTTAAGAGGTTAGCATGCTAACCCGTCCCTGGATGAAGTTCACTGGTATAGTCTAGGCAACAATGACTTTAATTTGCACAGGATGTTGAGTACTCGAGTTTTACGATTGTTGTTTAAGTAGTTGATTGATTGTAGGCTATCGAGTTAGATTTTGTAATTTGACGTGGACATTGTAAGTGACTGTTATGCAACAAATGTATTTTTTGATGAGCTAGGCCCAATTGGTCAAGTTGGAGATATAAAAATCGAATAACAATTAACGAAGAAAAAAAGTGGAGCTTTTGAGGTAAATTTTTTGTTTCCTCTCATTTACAATCAATTCATTTCGGGGTCGTTTGGATGCAGGATTGTAGTGAGTGATTTGTGAGAGATTTTAAAACAATCTCTCATTCTGTGGGATTTTAAAACAATCATGCGTTTGGTATTATGAGAGATTGTGGACACCAGAAATTTTGAAAACCCACAAGTGTAGGATTTCAAAATAGCTTATAAGGGTCAGCTATTTCTAAATCATGCATCTTTGTTTCAATTTTTCCTATATTGACCCTTCCCTCCTTGTGACCCTTTCTTCTTCTTCTTCCATTTCTCCTCCTCCTCCTCATCTTCTGCCTTCTTCCTCCCGACGAACAGAACAAACACCAAACCCCATCATTTCTCATCTCCCAAACCCCATCGTGTCTCATCCTCCCGTCATTTTGAACAAACCAAGTCCGTTTCTCATCTCCTAGCTTTTCGCCGTCATAGGCTTCTCCGTGCAACCCCGTCGCCGCCGATGAAAACGACTTTGGTCCTTGATGCGGCGATTACAAATGGAAGAAGATGTCGCAACACTTAATCGTTGACGAGAAGCTCTTGTTTGTGAGATTTTCGATTCGAGCTTCTGAAGCTGTCCGATTGGGAAATTTCTAATTGGAATCGCTGTCGCAACACTCAATCGCCAGCGGAAGCTCTGGTTTATGGGTTTCCAATTCGATCTTCTTGAGCTGTTTGGGAGTTCTGTTTCAGAAGTATGGTTGTCGCGGCACTCAAACACCATTCCTTCTACCCAGTTCATCCCCATCTTCTTCATCCTCTTTCTCCAGCAACCCCGTCGCCCTGCCAACTGCCCATTAGAAGACGAATCGCCAACGTCGAGCAGCTGGTCGTCGAAGAAAGCTTTGGCTTTTCCGCTTTGCAGCAGGTCAACGATGGTCACCACAATCTTTCTTTGCTGCAAAAAACGCGCACAACAATGAAAGATATAAAGCTGGCAGAAGTTGAGATGAAGGAACAGAGAAAAAGAAGAAAAAGAAGAAGAAGAAGAGGAGAGGGGTAAACGTGTAATTGGGCTTAACTGGACTAATTCCCTAATTCATTTCCAAACGCATAATTGGGCTAAATCCCACGTTTTAAATTCCTAGGTTTTTGGTTGAGGGATTTGGGTCTCAAATCTCTCATTTTAAAATAACTGATACAAACGGGGTCGATTTAGTGTGCTCATTAAACAATTGTCATTTCCATTGTCTTTTTTTTTTAACCCTAGCACACAACGAGCCTGAAACCACAAAATGGAGAGCGAATCCCACAAGACAACCTGGAACCACCAACGGCATACTGAAACCTTAGAGTAGCGACCGCAAAGAGGAACCCAAAAGCCACCAATGACGGGAAGCATAATAAGTCGCCCGAAGAAGGGGGAAAGCGAACGACCTGGTTCGAAACCACCGAATCTCACAGAAACTTGTCGAAACCCAGAGAGCCGCCGCCTCAACAACCAAAGTACATGCACCGGATGATTTATCAGTAGCCCAAATGGAACGAACCTCATCTTCGAACTTCATGAAACTCCAAGAGAAGGTCACAATAAGACTCATAAGTCTTCTCCGAAAAAACTAATCAAAGAGGAGACGCAAGGAGAAGGAACATAAAACATGAAGGAGAATATAGGTTAAGAGAACATCAACCTCCTTTGTCACCAACAAAACATATCAAATGACCAGATATGAAGATCTGACTTAGGGAGGACGCAGAAGCATCTCAAATGAACAAATATGAACATCTGACACGAGGAGGAAGCAAAAGCAGTTATCATAAGAGAGGCGCGAAAAGGTAGAAGAGGGAAATCAAATCCGTAAAATGAAAGAGAAAATGCAATGAGGAAAGTAGGCAAGAAAAGATAGAAGATGGGGCTACTGTCGGCGCTCAAGAACTACCAACGACAACCCAAACATTTGAAATCTAGATTGAGGTCAGACAATGTTAGCTGCTAGCTTCTTGAACATTTCAATGAGATCCATTTCCATTGTCAATTGATATGATTCCCTCGCAAACAATTTGAATATCTAACAGAATGCTCCCCTCTCGATCCAACTTATGGATCATGGATTGAAAGTCTAATTTTAATCGATTTATTATTTTATTTTAGCAATAAATAATTTTATTTATTGAGAGTTGAGATATTAAAGTTTAAATTTGATTTGTTATTCTTCAAAAAAAAAAAAAACATTGTATGCTTTTCCTTAATTTTACATGGAGATATACTAATTAAGTATAATTGTATACTTTTTTGGTGTAAATCTCGTCCTACTATTGATTATATTTTTTAAAACTAAAATTTATATGAATTATTAACCAAGGAAGTAAATGGAAAGTATTTCAAGAAATTGCATTTTATCTTCTCAAAACTCCCTTTCTCTATCTCACTTTTTCTTCTCTGCTTTCCTCACACAATCTTCTTCTCACTTCATCCTCAAACCGCCTAACAAAATTAGTACCACTACATGAAAATCAGTATCACTATATGAAAATTCATACTAGCACTACAAAAATAAAACAAAAAATCTATATTAGTATGGATTAAAATTAAAAAATAATACCAGTATGAAACCAGTATCACAAACAAAACAAAACAAAAAACAGTGCCAACACAACGAGCGATAATAACATATGGCTTATTTCCCTAAGTTCACACTCAACATTTCATAGTCACATAAAAATGCTAGAAACGACAACCATTCTCTCGAAGTACCCCACAAAAATATATTGGAGTCATCGGCGAAGCAAAAGTTGAAAATCGTGGGCAATAATGTTACAGTTTGATCCCATGTGGAGAACCAATATCTAATACTTTCTCCAACAACACAAAAAAGCTCTATGTGCACAAGACAAACAATAATGGAGATACGGGGTCCTTTGCCGCAATCCGCGACTAGGCGTGAAATAGCCCCCAAGTTTCTCGTTCATCATAATTGAGAAACTAGTAGTCATTACACATTGTCTAAGCCAATTCACCCATGTAAAGCAAAAAAGGGACTTGTACATCAATGCAACCACAAAAGGTCATTAAACCCTATCATACGTTTTTTCATGTATCCAATTTAACCATCGTCAGTCCCTTATTTATTTGACTTTATGATTGAGGCAATGCATTACCTCGTGGCTTACTCGAATAAATGCACTCTGACTCTGAGAGACTACAACCGGCAAAACCCGAGCTAACCGTTCAGCCATTGGCTTAGCCAACACGTTGTAAACAAGCTGGTATAATCTCACATATCGAAGTTCTTTCATATTATCCTACAACTCCACTTTTGATAATAAAGAGATCCAAGTATGATTGATATTCTGGAGAAGAGCTACGACTGGAAAAAATGACATACCACGCGGGTAACATCATTTCCCACTATATTCCTAAAATATCTAAAGAACAACCTAATGAACCATCCAATCTTGGTGAATTTCACCAATAGCAAACACAAACTACTTTATGTTTGAAGGAAGAATAAGAGCCACATGACTTGAATTCACCTTTGCATTACCCTTCGCTTGAATTGGTAAAGACACACGATTGACCACCTGCTCAAACTAACATTCATATTGGAATAGTTGTTAAAAATATTTGTCTGCGACCTTTGTTTTTTCCTCCTTCTTATGCACCCATTCTCCCCCTTCAGTTTTCAGACCCATGATAAAATTCCTTCCACAAAGAGCTCTGGTTGTAGCCTCAAAGTATGTTGTGTTCCGATAACCTTCTTTGATCCACCTAATTTTGGATTTTTGTTTCAAATATAAATCCTCATCTTCCCAAGCTCGTGACAACTCTGATTACAACCTTCAAATCTCATCCCGGTCTTTAAAATATTTCTTCTTTTCTTCAACTATTAAATTTTGCGATCTCTTGATTTCTCCACCTGCATTCAATGTTACTTTATGGCTCATTATGATATAATATGACATACTTTCTTCCGTTTGTCCTAAAGTTGGAACATAGGGTAACCCGTCATTCTTGACCTACATGCCTCTTCAACCTTCGTTCTAACTTCGGTGTTTGTGACCCACTTTGCATCAAAATGAAACAAAGGTCTCGTTCTACAAGGAATATTATAGTTAGAAAGCAACGAATCTCAGTGATCCCAACCTTCATCCGATAGGTTTCGAAGTAGCAATTCTGGGAAGCAAGCTAGCCAAGACAAAGACACCAATACCCCGCCTAGTTGTTCCTCAACCAGGTCATGTTCATTCCTCCTATATGTCCACGTGAAGGGGGCAGTTGCAAAATCAATATCCTGTAATCCCATATCTCCAATAGAGTTACAAAAATCAATAGACTTATTAGAAAACGAGGGTCTAGGTTCCTTCTTATCTATCGAAGACAGAATGCCAATAAAATCACCAATGACTATACATGACACAATCATCTGACTTTCATATTTATAAAATTTACGCAACTGGTGGCGACACATCCCTTCTTCACAACTTATATAAACACACAACAATACATACGAAAAACTTCATTTCACTAACACCAAACAAAGTTTGTCGCCTTGACCACTTCATGCACAAAAGGCATTTACCTTTATATATGTGAAATTAAAACTATAATTTACAGTATCAAATTATATTATAATTATAAATGGTTGTATCGAGTTAATTTACGCCTTTGCACTGATTTGATATCCAATTAGAATTTAAATTTGAAATGGTTGTATAGAGTTAATTTATGATCTGAATTATGAAGTTTACATATACAAAAATTTCAAACAAATAAGTTTACAATATAGCTGTATGGAGTTAATTCTTAATTTAAGATCCAAAGTTTACGCCTAGCTCCTTCGTGAACCTTGGTTAATTTAGAGATGGACATAGAACTTTTATTGTCTTTCACGAAGGATGAGATATGGCAGGCTCTGGAACACATGAGATCTAGTAAGGCCCCAAAGGCTGATGGAACCCCATTACTCTTTTTTAGAGAAACTAGGAGATTGTCAAGCCAATTGTAGTCCACGAGTTACGTGGGTATCTAGAGGAAGCAAAGTTCCCACAGGAACTAAATAATACCCTAATTGCACTTATCCCAAAAATATAGAAGCCATAATCACATATGGAGTTAGACCTATAAGTCAATGCAAGGTCCTATGCAAAATTATGTTAAAGGTAAAGGCAAATAGGCTCAAACGGGTTATAAACAGGATAGTGGTGGAAAATCATAATGTGTTTGTGTCGGGAAGATATATCACTTACAATTACGGGTGGCTATTTGGTCTGATATTTTGGTTTAACGGGAAATCATACCGTTTGAAGCCAAGACTGGACGTAAAACAGTCGAATCCCATGTTTGATCGCAAAATTAGTAAAAAACCAAAATTGATATGCGTATTAAAACCGGAAAACCGGATAATCTCAAAACAGACCCATCAAGCCAGCCTAGAGCCCACTACACCCGAGCTTAGCCTAGCCTTTCTCTCTAGCCCATACTCTCGAGCCCATCTTCTGCCCCCTACTATACACTGGCCGCCCAAAGCAATTTTTTCCATAACTCTTAAGAAATCCATGGCCACTTCCATCCTTATTCCTTCCTCCTTCCAAAATTCTAGTTCCATTTCCATCCTTCCTCCTTCATCCATCTCCAGTTCTCCACAGCTTGTTGCTCTCGATCACAGCTCTTTGCCTTCGATCCCAGCTCGTCGCCTTCGGGCCACACCACGCCTCTCACCATCTCTAATCATCCATCTTCACACCTCTCGCCATCGGTCCCAGCTCTCTACTCTGCATTCCTTGCTGAAGCGTGCTCCACCAACTATCGACGACCAGCAGGCAGCGGCCTCCAAAATCAGAAAGATGGAGGGGAGCAGCAGTTGGGTGAGTATATTAATTTGTGTTTGCTCTTTGATTGAGAAAGGAGAAGCAGTTTTAAATTGATGAGGTCTTGGCTTTTATTTTCTGAATGCGATGAATTAATTCTGCGCCAAGGTCGCTGCCAATTGCCAAACTACAGTTGCAGAGAGCACTTGGGGGAGTTGATGGAATTGAATAGTTCTAGTTTTTAGACTAGTCTTTCGGGTAGGTTATTGAATTGAGTCCCAAAAACATGCATTTTATGATTTTGATTGTATGCTTATATTGGTGTGGAATCCTTCTTCTTGATATTGATGTTTGAGGCTTTGTGTAGTGCAGGGTTTTTAGAAGCGAGTACATACCAACTTCAAGGGGAGATGATAATTTGCCTCCTCTTCCTAGTAGGAAGCAAGCACAAGCTTCAAGGGCACCTGTTAAGAGTAGTAACAATGGTCTTACTACTATTATTTGCTGTTGGCGATGAAACAGGCACCTCAAGAACAAGAACTAGTATCAACTAGCAACACCACAACAACTCAAGCCTCAACTTTGAAGTTTTGAATTAGACTTTGGTTTTGTAATAGGTAGTTTGTTGTAATTTGGTATTGGAAAATGTTTGGCTTGTTTTTTCTAAAAATTATGTAGAAACAGGTTGTCTGCATTCCAACAAAAGGGGTATATGCAGTAAAATTTTCTAGGCAGGGCCAGTATGGGTTAGAACCGGATAGACCGGATCGGGATAGACCAGACTGGACCCAATCCATTTTTGGGTTGGCGTATTTATGAAAAAATCGGATTGGGACCGGACCGTGTTCTACCCATACTTACAATGTCATGGTGGCCATTGTATATTTTCATGCCATGAAATATTAGAAAGAAACAAACAAAAAAGTCTTTGTGACAACAAAACTAGACATTGCAAAAGCCTATGATTGATTAAATTATGATTTTTTTGAAATCCATGATGATTAGAATGGGTTTCGTAGACATATGGGTATCAATCTAATTATGCATTGCATTACCACTGTTATTGGACAATCCAAGTACCACATCGAAAATACAAGTGAAGGAACCCTTGTATATTAGTGTCCACCAAGCTCAATTAGTACGAGGCCTTTTGGGAAGGAACCCAAAAGTAAACCGTGCGGGCTTGACCCTAAACGGACAATATCGTACTAATGGAGCTGGCCAATTTTGACAAGTGGTACCAGAGCCTAGTTCGGTTCGGTCCGGGGCGGTGAACGTCAGTTTGGTGGGACCCTCATTCGGTGACCTCATGATTTGATATATGCATATGTTTGGTGCATCCATGATCCATGAGAGATCCACGACTGTTTGGCGGATCAAAGAGAGTTTCGCGTCTGGAAAGCATATCAAAGAGAGTTCTGCATCTGGGAAAAATTCTTATACCGAGAAGCTCATCGATACAAGGTGTCTTGCAGATCAAGACAATCGTTGAGGAGAGGACACGAAGTTCGTGGTCCTTGTCTTGAGGGGAAGATTGTTATGGGAAAATCCAAGTACCACATTGGTAATACAAGGGAAGGGACCCTTGTATATAAGTGTCCACCTACCCAATTAGTATGAGGCCTTTTGGGGAGGATACCCAAAAGTAAAACCGTGCAGGCTTGGCCCAAAGCGAACAATATCGTACTAATGGAGCTGCTCAATTCCGACAACTACGATCTTCTTTGTTGTTCTAATCAATGAACAACAATCACCTATATTTGTAATAGGAAGGGGTTTGAGGCACAAAGACCCTATCTCGCCCTATGTCTTTCTATGTGTAGAGGGATTGTCATCCATTACCTTGGAAGCGATTGGAGAGGGCAAATTACATAGCATTCAAGTTTCAAGGAGAGGCCCTATTATATCACATATATTATTTGCTTATGATAACATTTTTTCACAAGAGGAACCACACAAATGTACACAACTAGGAGACATACTAAGGATATATGAGGGAGAGTCGAGACAAAGGGTCAACCTTCAAAAATCAGAGCTATCTTTAGTCCTAATGTTGATATATAACAACATGTCAGTTTTGCTAACATTTTGGGTATGAAACAAGTGGACCATCATGCTAAATATCTCAACCTACATGTTGTGATACGCAAGACAAGAATTATGCTTTTGGGGTGCTTATGGATAAAGTAAGAAGGAAGATTAAACTATGAAAAAGCTAGACACCTTGAAATGATGCAAAAGAAGCGATCATTAAAATTGTAGCTCAGGCTTAGCTAAACATTTGTATTTCTAGTGCCTAATGGAGTTCTTTAAGAGATAAAGAGTGCTATAATGTGTTTTTGGTGGGGCTAGAAGAAAGGAGGATTCTTTGGCAAGCTTGGAAGAAACTGTGTGAGCCTATGACCACATGGAGCATTTGACTTTAAGGATTTAAAGGATTTTAATCTCGCCCTACTAGAAAATCATATTTAGAATCTTATACAAAATCCAGATTCCTTGGTAGCCAGAGTCTTAGAGGGTAAGTACTATCCTAACACTAATGTTCTACATGTTAGGGAGGTTGTTTTCCTAGCTAAATTTGGTGAACTCTGATGGTTGCACAAGATTTGGTTCGACATTAAACCCGTTAGAGTGGGAAATAGTACAATGTGAAAGTGAGGGGTGATAAATGGGATCCTGGTGTAGAAGAGGAAAATTTTCTCATCATTTGACCAGTTATCACGTTGGGAGTTCTCGCAAGGGTCTCGAATGGGATTGATCATGAAATCGTGTTTGGGGGACTAACATAATGCAAAATCATTTCAATTATACAAATATAATGAGAATTATGGGTATTCCTATCCAAAAGAAGCATACACTAGATTGCCAAGTGTGGTGCTTTAGAAACCGGAAGCTTATACGACTAGGTCGACCTATTTTGCTTGGATGTAGAAGGAGAAAGACGAAGAGATTAAATAGGAAGTAGGAGAGATCTATGGCTCTGTGAATTGGAAACGAGTTTGGGCATTGACATACCGCATAAGGTGAACACCTTCATTTGACGTTTTCTTCACTATGTTCTACACAATGGGAAAACATTGAATCAAGGAAGAAAGATACACCAATTGAGTGCCCTTTCTATAAACTAGAGGAAACCCAAGATCACATGTTCAGGAACGCTCTTGGTTTAGAAGAGTATGGTCTCCTGTTGATTTTTTATATCTTTTTTAAAGGGGATCCAGAGTATGGTCTCATGCTGATTTCTTATATCTTTTTAGAAGGGGAAAGGATCTACCATGCAAAACTTGGTTATCTGAGGTTATATGTGAAGTGGATAATGAGTCTCTTTCAAAATTCACTATGGTTCTCTAGAATCTATGAAACGAGAGGAATAATCACCTCTTTAACAATTAGAAACTAGAGGAGTTGGAAATTGCTGGTAAAGCCCTATCCAACTGGAATGAATACAATTCATGTCATCGGAAGGCGTGTGAGTTGCAAGAAATCTTACCTAGAAAAGGCCGCATAAGGGATGGTCGAATGTTAATGTCGATGCAACTATTTTAGCGAAAGAGGGATCGACATATGACATAGTGGTGTAACATTCAGAGAGAAAGTGTCTTTTAACGGCGGCGAGAAGAGAGCGACACTAGTGGTCGTGTAGATTGCAAATCTTCAAGCAATTGCTTTTGCTTGCTTTTGCTCTGAAGATGGTGGAAATCGTCGATACAAACTATTTGGAGGCGGCTTCCAAACTCAACCAGTGCAATGCAACTAGTCTTCTCTGCAAGCATGTCGACTCAATGATAAAATTCAGGTCGGGGTCTGGAGAATTTGTATGTCATTCACTAAGAGAGAATGCAATAAGGTAACCTATATAGGGATGGCAATGGGTCGGGTTGGGTCGGATTTTGCCAAACCCAAATCCAAACCCATGGGTTTATCCGTGAAAAAAACCCGGGGTAAAACCCTTTGGGTTTGAAAAACTCAAACCCAACCCAACCCGCTGGGTATCCGCGGGTTCATGGGTACCCACGGGTTTTTGTCGTAAAAAATTTACAATAACAAGTTCCTATCAAAATTAAAGTCAAATATCAATCTCTAAATACAAATTATCCATATTTAAAACACCATTCTAGAAAATTCAAGCAAATCACAAATTAACTATACAAATTGTTCAACACCAATCTAGAAAACTCAAGAAAATTGAAGTAAATCATAAATTATCCATAAATAACATATTAATTGAAGGCTTCTTCCTTTCAATTAAGTTTCTTCACTCTCCACTCGATAACACAAACTTCATTCTACACAATTAGAAAGAAAAAATTAGACATGTCTCCACAAACATAAATAAGATTAGTTGTTTAAAATATTAAATATACCGAGAAAATTAATTATATGTGTGGGCGGGTACCCACGGGTTGGGTTTACCTAAACCCAAATCCAACCCAACCCGGTGAATAGTGAACGGGTTTAAACCCAAACCCGACCCAAAACCCGTCAACACGGATTTTACACGCGTTGACCGGGTTGGGTCGGGTGGGTACCCGTGGGTTCGGGTTTGGTTGCCATCCCTAAACCTATATGATGGCCCACACACTCTACAATTGGGATATTCAGGAAGTTTGGGTTGAAAGACCGTCTATCTTTATTTTCTCGTTGTTACATTCCGGTTGTAACAAGAAGAAGAAAAAAAAAAAACAATCCCTCCAATTTGGTTATCCCTACACCTTTGTCCATCTAACTGGCAAATTGGAGTTTTCACTATTTTTGAATTAGCAGCAAAAAACAAAGGGACAGACCATTCCTTAAGTATCTAAAAGTGGGAGGTCTCACCAACGATGGATCTTTCAGCCATTATGGACAATCAGGCCAAATTGAAGCCAGTTTAAACTAGAAATAATCTGACATCTCAAGCTATCCTTCTGTGTGTCTGACTACTCTTTCGCTACCTAAACAATCAAAACCAAACTCTTAAAGAATCATACAGTTTATGTTCTCATGTCGAAATCATCCACGAAGAAGTGAAATTTCGGATCAACCATAATGCGAAGCCAAATCTCCGAAACACTTTCCCAAGGTTCAGCAGTCTGTGTGCTTTCCCTTTTCACATGATTTGGGCATGAAGAGTTATTACGAAGACACTCTCAAGCATTTCAAAGTTGAGGTGAGGACAGAGAGCTTATCGGAAGCGTGCAGTTTGTACTCTTTCTCGAGAGCAGCTGAGGCCAAAGATGGCAGATCTGAACTACTGTCCTTGTCTTCCCTGTTCCTTCCTCTCGCCAGTTGTGAAATGGCTGAGGTACACTGGACAATTTGAAGAAAAAAAATAGACGCAGCAAAAGAGGGTTTCTCGGTCAGTCATGACTGAAGATAAGAACAATAGTTCCAGGCCAAGATGCAGGGAACCTGAATTAGGCTTGTTAGCACAACTAACCAGGCAGATGCCAAAGAGAGCCCTGTTGTTCTTGCCTCCAGACAAATCTATGGTGGAGGAGTAGTATTTCTTTGCTGTCTGAAGGTTTTCTAGTCCGCCGAGTGTATAGAGTACCTGTTCATTGCAAACAAAAAAAAAATGCCTGATTTCGGTTTTGCATAATCGAAAAGTGGGTAATGGAATACAAACTTGGATGGGAAAAGGAGACTTACGTCAGCATAGGCAAGATGGTAGAGTGGAACAGTAGGTTGAGATAGTATCAGTTCCTCATAGCAGAAAGCAGCTTGCTTGTACCTAATTTATGGATATAATCGTATATAGATCAGGCTTCTGGCCCTACAAATGGATGTAATATTACAAATGGAAGTAACATGATTCAGTAAAATCCTCTCACATTTGTAGGGAAACGTATATCTCTGCAAGTTCTCTCCATGCATCATGATCCGCCATAAATCTGAAAATAAGATAAGAACGATGCCAAGTCAATAATGTGTTGGAGCTCGACTCAAGAAGTTGACTTTCTAGAATGGCATACT